TGGCTTCCACATTTTGATCCTAATAGAAGAGATCCTAAAGGCTATGACAACATTGAAAAATAATTGTAGGCAAATATCATCATCTCATGGAAGCTAGCCAAAAACGTTTCTAGTCATTCACAAATTAGACTCAAATGGAGAAAATATTATTCCTTTGTTTCACAAATAACCTGAGCAAACCACGTTTTTTAAGTGAAACTCAATTTTGGATTAAAATCTTCATTTTGACGATCAGCATGAGTCAAGTAACATATAAAATCCATTGTAAACTGAAAGATATGACATCATTCTGTATTAGTTTGGTTGCTGAAATTTTAGAATAAAATGCCAAGTGAATTGTTGCAAAAATAGCTTGTTATCACTTTTATAAACCAGTCTCCCAGTACGATAACATAGGAAAATAATTTTTTTGCCATTGTTTTGCTACACAAACATGCCATTAAAACTATGATTTTAATTGACAATAAAGAATGCTGTGGCTTAAGATGAGGCAATTGCTGATAAATCAGAAAAATATTAACATATCTTGAAAGAAAGTGATTTCTAATATTTGAAAGCTTGTTCCTGTGAAAGATGCAGTTGACCACAAAATCAGCTAAATATTGAAGCAAAAAAATTGAGGCTTAACCATCATAATCATTATCATAAGCATAACTTGTTTCAAGAAAAAAAAACAGGATTCAAGCATCTTTCAAAGAATAAAGCTCATTTTAGATCTAGTTTAACATTATTTATGTATTACTAGGATTAAGTGTATTCTTAGTTGGACTTCACTTTAAATAATTTTAACCGGTCATATACATTAAGATTTTTGTGGCATACCAGTTGAGTGCAAGTAGAATTCCCTTGACGTGCTATGATGGTGGACCATGCCAGGAAGATGTTCCAGATTCGAACAATTCGGCCATACTTTTCGGTCATGGCTGCTTGATTTGCAGGCTTCATCCAGTTATCGTACCAGCGATTGATCGTCAGCGAGTAGTGAACCCCGATGGTCTCTGATGAATGGATCTCAAAGCCAGCTCGCTCAAGCTCAGTGACAATCCAGCCCAAAGGACAGCTGGCATCTGCCCCAGGGAAGATGTACTTGGCCATGAACAGCCCCCAGATGAAATCTTCCCACTGCCATGTTCGGCGCAGGCCGGCAATCTGTAGAAAGAAGATGCCATCGTCTTCCAGCATGTCTCGCACCTGAGCCAGGAAGGACTGGAAATTTTTCACACCAACATGTTCGGCCATTTCCAGACAAGTTATCTTGTCATATTTTGTATTCGGGATATCACGATAGTCCATGCACAAAAACTTAATTCGGCTGCCAACTTGCTTTTTTTCGGCCACACCCTGCCCCCATTCAATCTGACGTTTAGCCAGGGTAACGCCTGTTGAGTGAGTGCCGTGATTCTCAGCTGCATAATTGACTAGCGTACCCCACCCACAACCAATATCCAAGTGTCTGTCGCCTTCCCTCATCTGACATTTCTCTCCGACCATTTTGAGCTTGTTTGATTGCATTTCTTCAAGCGTTTCCGACTCATTTCGGCAAATCCCCGAGGTGTAGATCATCATGGGACCTAGAAAAGCTTCATAGAAATCATTTCCACGGTCATAATGATCGCAAACCTGTTCGGCGTCTTGGATTTTCGAGTGAAAGATCAGCTCGGGTATAAAATTGTAAATCAAAAATCTGATGTGATCAAATGTCAGTTCGAAGGTAGAGAAGAGATGGCGATTTTCCAGAGCTTCTAGGACATCACATTTAAAGTCTAGCTTGCCGTCAGCGTAAGCTTCGTACAGAACTTCCATAGGAATCTTTTTGTTGGCGTATTTTGATGCCAAGGTTGGGTCACTGAAATCAATGAACCGTGAGACGTTGGTTGATTGCACACCGTACTCAGCGACGCACATTCGGTTGAAGGCCATCATAAAAATTCCAAAAACAGGCAGGAACAGGATAGCAAACGCTATGGGATAGCACCAAAACGGCAAGCCCAAACCATACTGAACCAATGCAGGCGTAGCGAAGAGCAGCGCGAACAATGCTTTGTAGGAAATTCGCTGCCACGCCAGCTGATCAATTCCTTTTAACATCTTCCTCGACGAGAAACCGTTTGCTCTTGGCCCGCCGTTTTGAATTCGCTCCATCTCAATCGACTCCTAAAACGCTTCAGTCCTATGGAAATGAAGTCAACCTTCCTTCAGCCCCGTGACTTAACTAGAAAACGAGCCAAATGTATTCAAGCAAGTCACATTGGATGAACTTTGTCTGCCCACAGCTGCTTTTCTGAGATCCGCTTGTAATTTACATTTCAACACACAGGGCCGCGTCAAGTACACGTGTCATATGGTCACGTGATCATTGTTATGGGAAAAGCCCGTGAATAAATTTCGCCGGTAAACAAAACGGAAAATTCATGATCTGTCAAAGTAACTTAAAAAATAATTAAATTTTGCCTAACCTGCAACCTGTAGCTATTCTTTGCGTGTGGTTATTCTTTTTTAATTATTGGTTTTATATATTGTGTATACGAAAGTAATATTACAATCTAAACAATGGAGTTCATTGCTGATTTTCTCTCTCTTTTTTTTTAAGAAAAACTACAAACTTCAACGAGCTGACCCTTCTTATAATTATTTTTAGTCTGTATTGTGACTGATCGTGAGCGAGACGTTACTGATATGTAATTTACCCCGAGTTATATCAGACTGATGAGCTGTAATTCATTCAAATGGAACAGCTACGATATCGAATATTTATCCACAACTCCAAATCCCTTTTGCTATAAAAGCGCCACATTTTATCCAAAACCTATCACTACGATGTTTCTTTCACGCGAACCTGATAAGGCAAGTTCAGGTCTTTACAAACAGAAATATTTCGCAATCATTTCCCTAGCGAATTAGCTCGAATTATGTTTTCGCCAAAGGGCGATAGGGCATAGATCGTGAAAATTATCGCGTTGACTCACAAATTGCTGAAATCAATGGGCACTTTCCATTCAACCAAAACGTCTGGTTTGAATTTTCTGCAACTTCCAGTAGCGAATGGAACAGCATTTTCCAAAATTTCCAAAAAGGAGGAAAACCTATACCCAACTAGAAAGTTTTTTTCCGGAAGTTTTCTTTCCATTCAACTTTGCTCCTAGAATTTCTAGAATTCTCCCTTGAATGATTCGCATTCGGAAATTTAACAGCCGAGCCGTAGCTAGCGAGGGGGGTAGCTGCCTCCCCCTGGACCCGTTGAGCCAGACAAGTCAAGTCTGTGGATGGATTTGCTTCCTTTAGACTCAGTTATTTTGATTATTGTGAATTGCAATTGTTTGCCGTTTCATATTCGAGGTCGATTTCTCGGAGACATATCTCATTACACATGCTGAAAATAGCGTTTTGAAGCCTCCAAATTTAGAAATTTTCTGCGGGAGGACCAAGACCCCCCCTACTGCAAGGCTCGTGCTTTCGGTACTCGCTGTAGTGACCCCCGTTACAAAAGCCTAGCTACGGCCCTGAACAGCTTCTGGAATTTCTAGAAACTTATCCGGGAAATTTCTGTACCATTTGCCTCTGTTTTCAAATTTTTGAAAGTTTGGGTTGTTTTCCCAGGCTCTCTCTTCCCACTTGTCATGCATTGTGCAGATTCGTGACAAACAGTGTTTTCATTCCGAAATCCGGAAAATATATGGATCCTTGGCTTTGGAACTGTAGAATCCTGCAACCCGGAATTCAAAGAGAAGATATCCAGAATCCCGCTAACGTTTGGAATCTAGCCTGCAGAACAGGCGTTTTTTAACGAAAGCGCGACCTAGAGGTACATTGATCGTAGCCGCAATAAAAGCACCTCTCCCTTGGAATCTTTTTCTGACTCGCCTCAAGTCTCTGTCAGTTCAAAGTCCAAATCGTTCCCACTGCAAAATACGCCTGCATGCTTTTCCGCGCTTTTCAGGCGAGCGAGGAGCCAGCCAGACACGCGCGAAATCCGCGCCTTCCCCCGTCGCGCCTGTCTTACGCTCCACGCCCGCCTAAGACGCAAAAAGGCTTAAAAATAACTCCTGTTTTTGCAAGCTATGCCACGCTAGCTTGTACTCTCCTGAAACCAGGGCTACCGATAACCAGTCACTTAGCAGAATGTTGTTTTAGTTGTGATAAATAAACTGTAAGAGGGCTGAATGGAAAATCAGGACTGAAAAAGGATAACGACTGAGACAAAGTCTTAAAAGGTCTATGTCATGCTATTTGCTATCTGAAAAAGCTTAAACGTGACTTCGCCGTCAATTGAATTAAAAAAAAACTGCTGGTATCCTGAGGCTTCATTATTTAAGACTATGTTTAGGCATGTAAGCTATTTCTTGTCGTCTGGACATGGATTAAAACGTGAAAAAGTTGGGCCACTTTTGTCAAGTTTTGATGCACTGCTTGCAAAACTCAACAAAAAATTTATGGTTTGTGGTCCCCGATGAAATTTGTTTGGTATCTTTTTCATAACTCTACAGGAACATTTTGGGTGTAGGTAAAGGCGACAAAAGTCATGATTTCAGCACAAAATTGACCTAAAATAGCAATATTCTCGTGACATATCCCTTTAAATCCTTTAAGCCCCCAGATCCACATACAAATTCTCCAGACTGATCTACATAGATTTCTTTTAAGAATACTTGAGAGAATTTGGTTTAAGATCAAAGCATTCTCCCTCTGGTAATCAATTTAGTAATTCTCATATCCTTTACTCTTGATGATCTGCTGATTTTGTCAGGAGAAAATTGATTTTGGTCACTCTTGGGCCCTAAAGGGTTAATCACAGCTAGCACGATCTTATCAACCGGCCGTAGAAAGTGTTCTTTACTCTAAATAATACAACACAAACCGAACTGCAGATGCTGAGACAATTTTAATCCAGCTTCTAGTTTTTACTGTAGCGTTTTCTTCTTTACATTAAGCGCCAATTGCGCCAAACAAATAAATTATTTACATCCTTAGAAATAAGCACAACTATTTACACAACAGAATGAATTGAACGATTCCTAATCTGCGGTTCAATCCTATATTACGAAAACACAAAGGGACCAGTTTCTTTGTCGACTGCCAAGAAAGACGAATACAAAACGTACTGTGTGAAACGTGGGAGAGAATTGACGGAAGATATTTTTACTTTCAAAGAGCCTTTCAAGCAGAGTTCAATCAGACCAACAACGGTGAACAAGCAAGGTCTGTTACTTGGAAGCCTCTGAGAGGGCCAAGTAATTGGTAACCGACTCCGTATCACGCGCTTGTGACATCATCTGGGTCCATAAGATCATGCGATATCAGAACATGGGATCTTCAAAAGTCACGTGTTAAAGATGTTGCGCAGGTTTTCGGCAAAAGGGACAGCAGTTTTTCTGTAGAACCAGAAGCTCGTAGTCATCGGTGTGGAATAACTGAAAGAGAAAGTAATTATCATTACAACAAAGCACTAACTGACCCTCCGGTTCATTTCGTGGCTTTAACGTTAATGGCGGAATCTCCACGAACGTCGCCACTAGTTGATCGGAAACTGACATGGCATCGACTACCACGATCAGGGATTTGAAATCGTGAACGAAATCTCTGACTTGGAGGGCGCTTTCCATTTACCCAAAACTTTCAAAATTTGGAAACAGCGGTAAATGGTAGAGAAATTTCCCGAAAAGTTTCCAGACATTCCGGAAACTGTTTAATTTGCGAAATGCAAACCATTCAATCGAAGATTCTAGAAATTCCGGGAGCACAGTTGAATGGCAAGAAAACTTCCGTGAAAATGTTTTCAAAAATTTGGGTATACCTCGCGAGGTTGTCCTCTTTTTTGGAAATTTTGGGAAATGCTGTTTTTTTCGCCACTGGAAGTTGCTGAAAATTCAAACCGGACGTTTTGGTTGAATGGAAAGCGCCCAGAATTTGTATTTTTCAACTATGAGGTTTTTGCTACAGTTTAGCGTAATGAGTGCTATTTCGCTCGATCAACGGGGCAAATAATAGCAAACATACTATCCTCTCCATCTGACAACCGTCTTCTCGCTTTTGGCAAAGTGGGCAAAGTTCACTGACGTGTTAATTCGCGTTTTCTACAGGTTGCAACTGAATTTTCCCGCGCTTATCACCCGTCAAATGTTTCCGCGCTTAGCAACTGAAATTTCCCACAAGTCACTGGTTTCACAGCCTCCCATGCAGACATTTTCAAGGCTTTGTCACGAGTTCCACATGTGGTGGGCACGGGCTCTTTGATGGTCATCACGTTTTTTGCCTGTGTCGCAGACGCTTAAAGTGCATATGACACGAAATTTTTTTTTTTCTGTTTCCCGTAGTTTGATATGTCTAGAAAACGTCTCCGATCTTTAAATGCGGTCAAAATGTCTCTGGAGTCATCATTTTCGCGTTTGAAATACGCGCTTTCGGCTCTAAAGTATGTCCCCGGCATCGCGCGGCCAAAAATGTCACGTGATACTGTTGTGACGTAGTTTAGACGAGGTGCGTGGGCCGGCTGCAACGCAGACTACATGTTTTAAGATAGCCCTAATAACGGAAGATTGACTGAAACTGAGCCGGTTACACGACGAGCACAGAGTGTGGCCTTTGCTTCAGTTTTACGTAATGAGCTGTTTTTCAGTCAATCAACGTGTTAAGTAACAGCAAACATACTGCCTTCTTCATCCGACAAACAGGACGTTCATCATTCTTCTTCGCGCATTTGACAACGGTTACATGTTTTCCCGCGTGTTGTGCCGGCTACAAATTCTCCCATGCTAGCCACCCGCCAGATGTTTTCCTGCGCTTAGTTAGCAACTGAAACATCCCACTAATCACCGGTTTCCCAGCCTCCCACGCAGACGTCCTTAGGACTTCACCACGCGTTCCAGACGTGATGCGCACGTGTTCTTTGATAGTCATTTTAAGATAGCCCTAAGGACGGAAAACGGACTGAAACTCACTCGATTACACGACGAACACAGAGTGATTGACACATCGGGCAGCAGTGATCTATAGTATTGGTACTTCAGAGGAGAAGGCCACTTCTTTACCAGCACCTCGCGGCTATTCATGGACTGAAGTGTTGAACGACCGACGCGGACTGCGACAAATTCGGATCCACCTTGCTGTAAAAAAACAAAAAGTCAACTAATTTACCCTGCGTAGCTGGCGCTTGGAAGTAGTGGGTGCAAGAGAGAACGGGCGAGCGCGAGGGAGACACGCGAAGGGTGAGGCTGTCTCCTTCTTGCGCGCCCGTTTTTTCTTGCGCCCACTACTTCCAAGCGCCTACTACGCAGGCTACAGCTAATTGGGCTCTTGGGGGTTCTGCTTAAGACTGAGGCCGTGTTGTGTCGAATTGCATTGTGGGACTATTTTGGGGCACGAATTTTGTCCCAGTTTCCAGCGCAACTTGGTAATAGCCAATAAAATAAGAGATAGCAACCCCAAAAACAGTCTCATGGTGCACTTCGGCACAACATAGACCTAGCCTCACTCGTAACCTCACAACCATACACACTTTGTAAGCAACAAACTGTGCTTACAAACCTTGCCTTCGAGCCCGAACACTTACCAGACCTTTTGAGAAACGAGCCCTCGAAAGGCCAGGGAACTATGGAAAAGATTTTTCTCACCCAAACCAAGTTTTGAAATTCGTTCTACATGCACAGACGAGTTCAATAAACCCACAATGCGGCAAGTCAGTAATTGTAATCTCACCTCAAAACTCATCAGCTTCGCAGTAAAGGGATCTTCTTCTTCATCTTCCGGGGGCTCCTCTGTCAGCTGCAGGGACTGGAAATCTAGTCAGCGGTCAAGGAGTACGTTATGTAATAAAACACCACAGTATAAATGGCTGAGAAGAGGACCGTTGCGTTTGATTTTGCGCACGCGTACGGTAGATAACACTGGAAGTGATAAGTTACCATTTTCTGCAAAGTAAGCTGAATTTGGTGTAGATAAAGAGCCAAGGAAAGGCAGGGACTAGATCAAGGTGTCCGTTAACTCTTTAAGTCCCAAGAGGGATCAACATCAATTTTCTCCTAACCACATCACTACGCGTACATAATCAAGAAAAGGTTATAAGAATTATTAATAAAATGATTACCAAAGGGAAAATGCTTTGATCTTTTATCAAATTCTGGAAGGAAATGAACAAAGATCGCCAAGATAATTTAAAAGTCACCTGGCTTTGTAATTTCACAAAGTGCTATTGATTTCACTACCTCACGAAAATGACTTTATGTTTTTTGCTGATTTTTGGTTCAGTTTGAGAGAGAGGGTTCTCATACCTGTGGTTTGTCGTAAGCTGTGCGCGCCATCTTATACTCTCCAAGATAATTTGCCTATGGATATAGCCGGAGGCGTAAGGGGCAAAAAGGATGCCGCATAATCGAATCTCTTGAGTTGACCTATTTTCTTTTTTATTCCATTCGTCCTTTTAAAAGGATACTTCCCATATCTCTTTCCTGCCAGTTTGAACCTCGCTTCTTCTTTTGACTTCTTAAAGAGTCTATTGCAATCAGTTTTAAAGCTTCCTCGTCACTGAAAAAAAGGGAATGATGAAAATGGATTAAAGGGAAAATTGACTTAAAGAATGGCCTCATCACAACGGAAAGAAATTACGAATAAATTGTATTTTTACCTGATACCATCTTCCAAGACAAACTCGACCAACGGAAGGACCTCTGATAATGAAAACAAAAGAGTTTGGAGAAGAAAGAAACAATCAAGAAACCATAATTGGGTGAATCGCGGTTTGTTTAAATGAGACTTACAGATAGGGAAAGGCAGATGTAAAGTTCGCCTTGTCATTTACGTGGGATAAAGAAACCACCTGAATCATCGACAGGTTTCTAACCTCCCACGCCGACATTTTTAGGGCTTCGTCGCGCGTTCTTGAGCTAAGAACTTGTACATGTGAGGCTTACGGGTTTGAACCCAAACACCCCACAATAATGGCTGGGCGCTTAACAAGTGAGCTAGAAGGAGGTCATAGTGAGCTACGCCATTATGATGGTTATTTTGGGTAGCCTTCTAGGGGACGGGGGTTATTAATGCTTGTGCTTGTGTGAGGGGGTAAGAAAGGGAGCGGTACAAATTTTGCTGAGCTCTTCTTCGATCACAACAAATAAAAGCCCTCTTATAAGGCATAATGGAATAAAACCTACCAAAGGAAGAGAAGGAGTAGACAAACGGCTGTCTGCAGTTGATACATTGATTCCCTTTGTTGTTCAAAAGAGGGTTCGTCGTGGAACATCGATAGCACAGAGGAAGCAGCTCCTACAACAAACAACGCTTTTCACTGCGAGAGCCAACACTTTAAAACCCTTACCACCATTCATCCAACCATTTGGAGATCGAGCGTCAGACTGGGTCCGAGTTGGGTGGAATTGCACTATGGGATAGACTATGGGTAGTCTCCCTTTTTTTTAGTCCAAGAGGAGACTGGAAAGCGTGAGGCGGGAGAGGCTGCCGTCCTCGTTTCTCGCGACTCGCGGTTTCACCGCTCGAAACTCAAGCGCGCGTGCACTTCCCTCACTAAATCTGAAGGACACTATGACTTCTTTCATTGACTTTTATGAAGTCGCGCAGGAAACTCGATCAAAATTCTTCCACACCCACCCCCCACCTCTAAAAATGGGGGTGAGGTAAGGTGTAATTTTACACAACACCAAGCCAGCTTCAAACGCAACCTCCATGTGTCCCTCCTTAAGAAAATAGCCTGTTTCAGGCGTTCAGTTTAGTGGGGACGGCGCACGATAAGTGAGGGGAAGGTTCCTCCGCTCTTCACTACTGAACCCCTGGAACAGCCTACGAAGGAAATCCTCCGGAACGTTTAAGAAAAAACGCTGCGTTCACTAACTTATTGTTCTTTCCGGTCAGTATCAGATCCTGGGAAACCAACTAACCTTCTCCTCCCCTAAACTAATCAATTCAAAGTAGACAGACTGCAAGTTATAGTAGTTGCTAAAAAATATATCTACGTGTTCCAACTGTTCATCAGTAGGATGCCTAAAATGCGTGTAATTCCACAATTGGTTTCGGCTCCATTAAATCCTATACCAACTGCAGACCATTTTAGGAGGAGCCACCCACCGTGTGAGCACAGTCGCAGACAACACATATAAGTGAGGACAATAACGCAAAGCAAAACTAAGACGTTATTAAAAGAACTAAATGTACACGCAACTTAAATAAATAAATAAATAAATACTAGCTTCTCTAAAGGGTAAAATGTTGTCAAGGGGTTGCTGGGTAGTTTCTCAGAATCCTGACTGATCTTCTTTCTCAAAGCCAAAGGAGTGCCATCTATATTTTCCGAATTTTTTTGAACACACCTCGTTGTCATGGAAGGGTTTTGAACGAATGGTGACACTTCCTAGGTCAATGGATTCTTGAAAACGCTGAGGGATCTTCAGTGACTGCAAAGATAAAACGAGAAAAAAAAGTAAAATAACTTAGCTTTGTACTTTCACAAAGTGCTATTTTTTTCACTTCCTCACGAAAATGAATTTGGGCTTTTTGCTGATTTTTGGCTCTTTTTGCGTGAGAGGATTCACATACCTGTAGTTTGTCGTAAGCTGTGCGGGCCATCTTATACGCTCCAAGATTCTTGCTTTGTTTGGCAAGTGCAAACAACGTCGAACTAATAAAAGTTAAGGTATTTTTTCTAGTAATAACCAAAGGTTAGGGAATGCAGGCGAGATCGATGCAAAAGCCCCCCCATCCCGGGGGGGGGGGAATCCCATATAAAAGTGACGGGGATGCTCGTCGGAAAATTCAAATTAACCCCTAACGGAGATCAATGTGGGTGTGGCTCAAGCTTAAACTGACCCCTACGGGAGATTTCTGTGCGGTCAGTGCCAGGGCATTTTTTGTATATTTCTTTAATTTATGCACAGTACTAAGCGATACCTGAATGGGCAAATATAGTGACTTTGCATCCCAAACACCCTAAGTGAGACCAAAATCTGCAATTTACACCCCAAAGCGAGATGACGAGCATCGCCGTTAGTTTTATATGGGAGTCCCCCCTGGGCAAAAGCACTTCCTTCTACGCTGTACTTTGTGATAGAAGGTCAAAACGCGCGTGACCAGATTGCGTTACATGCAGTCTTAGTGTCAAAGCAATCTGGAGATTAGGACTGAGGGTTTCTTTAATTGCCTTGTGCCTTTGCGATTGGACAAAAATATTAATGAATATGATGCATAAAGGATACACTCGCGAAACTCCAGATGGGATGTCTTTCACCAGCATATGCAACAGGTAGCGAGCGATGTTAAACAGTGTCTCCGGCATATGAGATGTGAATGGCTCGTCCTGTAAAGATAATCACAGACGAAGGTTACTGGGGTAGGCACAGGCTTACCAAGATTACAGAATTACAGCCAAGCATATTCTCTGTTTTTGCATGTCTTTTTCGCTGTTTTTTTGTTCTGGGTTTTTCATGTTTATCTTATTTTCCGCGGGTAGCGGCTCACAAAAGCATTTTCTTACGAAGGACAATAAATACGACACCCTTGCTATTCCTTCCTAAGCTATTCTGATTCTACTGAATGACCGTTCCTTTGAATTATCGTTTTAGCGAGCATTGAATCTGCATTTTCGCGTGTTGTAAGAGGACTACATTTCGTCTTTGTGAAACCTGGCCTGATAAATAGATAACTCAATTAACGAGGGTGAAAACCAAACAAATAAAAGTTGGATAATGGTGAAAGCAGTGGGGAAAAATAGATATACCGTGTATCTCTGAATGGAATGATAAAGATGATAAATTTCTGCTTTTTCCTGGTATTCATGGAACTTGTCCAACATTTCGTAATCGGCTTCGCCCTGAGGATTGTCTGTAAGAAAAATTAACAACAAGAACAAAGAGTTAACAAGTAAAAAGTTTAAATAAAAGCTACAAATGAGTATTTCCTTGTGTCGTTGTTTGCTGCTGTGAACAAGATCGTTCTGGCTTTTGACTGTGGATAACATCACGCCGTGGGACTAGTCAAATAAAACGTCTTCAGCTCGCTTTCTGTGGTTTTGATTGATAGAAAATTGCACTGACTTTCTCTACACCATGAATTGTGCAGATACGCCAAGAACGACCATATGCAACACAACCGAAAGCCAACGATGATCAAGTGAAATAGCCCCATTAAAATCTCCAGTGATAGGCCATTCACACGAAGGCGTTAGTTTACTACTACTACCACCAGAATCCCCTTCGTTTTTCTTTCATCTCTAAATCTGGTAATCCATATGAGGAAGTCCTAATTTGCACACGACAGCGAAACTTTGAAGTATTCTGTCAGGTAGTCGAATGACGTAATCATGAAAATGCTATTGAAGTGACCAAGCTACCTGCACCGCTGACCAGGTCCAAACACTGTACAGACAGCTTCCAAAAGTAATACCCCGCATCATGGAACCTAAAAATAAACATTTATCAACACGTTAGTTATATACCATAGTAAAAGCGCTGAGTAGGGTTCAGTAAGGTCTGTAAATGTACGAGTAATTAAAGGAGCTGTGTCACAAAATTTATCAACATTCTGACTGTAAAAACTGGCACCAAATTGAGTGAAACATAAAAAATAACCGCTCAGAACGTGAAGAGAAGGTATAAATAAGATAGCAAATACAAAAGAAGGCACCTATGGACAAACTTGAGAAGGATTAAAATGAAATCCATTTTTGTTTGGTTTTTAAATAACTGGTTAGCCTTGCCCGGGGGTAGCCAGCCCACAGACCTGTAGGCCCGGGCCTATAAATTTTTGATTTGACTACTTTTCCGCTTGTAATAAATTATGCGTTGTTGGGGTGAGCTAAAAAGCTTAAGAGCTCAAAGTGTTGGTGAGGTCAGTGCGTGCTAGTCATGCGTGCAATTTTCAGGATATGTGGAAATGAAAGTCAGCCAGGCCTACAACTAGTCTGCCTCGTGCGCACCCGCGTTCTAGCGGATTCGAGAGCGACTGGGATTTTGGTCCCGCGCTAGGTATTATGGGAAAGGCATTTTTCTCGTTCACCATTCCCGGCGTCCTTTGAGTCCACGCTAAACGTTCCCATGGTCCATTGCACGATACTCGTTGATGGCTCGTGCAGTCGCGTTTTCCGTTTTCCACACTTGAGACGCCTAGGAACGAGGCAGACAACTAGTCGAAAAGGTGGCTACGCCCCTGGCCTTACGTTTTTCAAAATTCATTTTTGTTGTTTGTAAAGTTTGATATGACGCTTGGGAAGTATATTTGTTGAACAAGAAGTTGTGATTTTGTCATTTACAAGTAATTTCTTCGCTAAAGTTAAGTCTCATAACGCATAAGGAGGCGTAATTTGCGATATTAACAAAATCAACTAGACAGACGTGTCACAGCTCCCTTAAATAAAATCGGACGAGTGTGTGGCGTAGTTGTACCAATAATAACAAATGTAGAAAAATTCAAGGAAAACTAATTGAAGGTCTTGTCTTTTGTAATAAAAGAGCACGACCTTTTTGGTCACGCGCAAAAACAAAGAACCTATTCAAGGGCAAATGACTTCTTACAGCCTCAGCGATAACGGATAATGCCCAGTTACATTGTTCTATTTAAAAATTAGTGCTGCTAATAGCCAATCACAGTGCAGAACTTTCAACGATTTTCGGTGGAGTAACCAAAGAAATCTTTCACTTGCTCGCCTCTGATTGGTTCATAACACTGTCTGTGTTTGATTGAACAAAATTTTGAGTTTCGACATGGATTTTCAAGCTTTTAGAAGTAGTCATTGAATGTCAGTAACCTGTGTTCCACCACAGCGTTATGACAGAGTTGTTCGAGAACTTTCACAGCTTGGTCTCTTCGTCCCGCCTTGTGGAAAGCTAAGGAGAAAAAAAATTAAACGATGTAAGCTAAGCTAAGCTAAGCTCAAAACATTGTGTTTTAGCACAAAAGTAATTCAGGAAATAGAAACCACCATAATTCTTATTAATGAAACGCGTCTTAGAAAAGCGCGCTTTCCATTTGTCAGAACTGACCAGCCAGACCATTCTTGTCGTAACGAGAATTTCACGTTTAATCAAAACTATCCAGCCAGATCAGTCAAATCCTAAATAGTATGCATGAAGGAGATGGTTTTTCAAAAAAAACTCTTTGAAAAAGGCTATTTCATTGTCAAAAATGTCTGGCCCGGCCGGCCAGTTCTGACTTTTGGAAAGCGCCCGAAAGAATGCATTTCTTTTTTACGAAAACCTAAATCGGCGACAAAATTGTTGAGACATTGTACTCATATAGGGTAACTTCAGAAAACAAAAGAATCTGCACCCCTCCCCTGACCCCTCCATTCAAAGTTGGCGTGTTTGTTGTTTTCTATAAGTAGCTCGAACATCGGCACTGCATTGCATGGAGGGGATGAGGGAGGAAAAGCTATATTTCCTCCTTTTGAAGTCGGTAAAGCGTAAAAAAGCCCAGTTTAGGGCGAAGTGTCTCAACTCATTTTGTCGCCAATATTGGAGGGGTACAGCACAATCAGTTACCTGCTCTAAAAGTGGAAACCGATGTACCATAGGACTCTTTGAGCAATACTGTTTTCAAAACTCGGTATATTACAAAGAATAAATGGCTCATTGGCTTTTTTTGCCACCCTGCCAATCTGCCGTATTTTGAAAGCTGATATCGCATGCGAAGGGCTCAAACACTACGAAGTTTGCGACGTTTCAAGACCGTTGGAGTTTATCGCGATGTCTTAACCGAGTAAACTAGACTGCTACTCAACTAAACTGTAAACAATGTCGGCCGCCAACTAGCCTCCCCGCAGACGTCCTTTGGGGTCCGTCCGTGGGGGAGAAATGAATGCGTGACAAACGAACCCCAAAGGAAGTCTGCGGGGAGGCTAGCCGCCAACCTGTTCATCAGCTACCTTTGAGACTGAGGTTGATATTGTGTCGAAATGCACTGTGGGATTGTTCTGAGAACGCCAGCGAGTTTTTATTGGCTATCATACACCGTATTCACAAATGGCGGACACGCGCGAAAAAACTGGCGCCTAGTCATTAAAGCGAGGCGTTGGAGGATAAACAAAAATTGCAAATGAAGACTTTCAGTGAACTTGCAGAGTGTTTAGCACGGATTCCACCTAAACTATGCTTTGTATGGACGTCTTTTTCAAAATAATTACGTGGGACGTCTTCTGCTTTTAATGTTTAGTATTGATTTGCTGTTTGCAATCAAAAGGGACGCGTATATCTTCAAGGAAACAGGATGATTTTGTAGGTTTCCGAAGCCTCAGAAGCTCGACAAGTGGGTGATGGCTGGAGAAAAGCGGCAAACACGTTGGCTCAAACTTCATACTGAAACCAAAAACAAAAGCCAGCTCACTGAAATTCTGTAAAACAGAAGTAAAAGCAGATATTGGTGGCAAGAAAAAAAGAAATACGCAACGGATATATGGCCTATTTGTCAACGGAAGAGACCTCCGCCATTACACAAAACAGGTCAAGTCGAGAGCGGGTGAAAGATTCATTCACGAGGCTTATTCATTCATGTCAGTGTCATTTTATACATATCTATGTATATATGTATGTCTGTACCGTTGTACAACTTCCTTTGGATGACATTAATTTCGTCGCTTTGGAGTGAATTGTTCGAGGTACGTTGGCAGAGCTTAGTAAAAATCTTTTGATTTCTTTGTCATTGCGAAATAAAATAATTTTATCAAAATTAGAAGCTGTAGTGTGTGAATCTTATGGCTTGCTATTTGCCTGGTCTCCTTTAGGGCATTATCTCGGAGAGCTCTTGGTAAGAAAGTGGTATAAAGCTCACCTTTTTCTAGGGTAAACTTTTAAACCAATGTTTGTGTCAGGACTGAACACAGCAAGAGCTTCTGTTTGGAATCATGAAATTCGAGTCTGGATCCGTTTAAATAGACCATCATTGTATTTATTTATGTATTCCTCACTTTTAAAATAATATGCAACATAAAGTTAAAACTCTTAACAGCCAAAGATAAGAAATACGAAAATTACTCGCTGAAATGATATGTGGCCGGTTTACCGAGTCTGCCGAGTAACAAGTTGAAATTTTGAGCGTACTCCACTCGATCGCTCCTGCATTTATACTTTAAAAAAATAGTTCTAATTGATGTCCTTCATCGATAAAGACCAGAGAATAACGTCCTGGCAAACAAAAACCAAACATAACTTCATCGAAACCTCAGTCACCGCTTCTTTCCTGTCTTCCTTTTTTCCATCTCGACTTGAACTGTTTTGTTCAATGGCAGACGTCTCTTGCGTTAACAAGGAGGCCATATATCCGTCGCTTATTTCTTTTTTTCTTGCCACCAAGATTTGTTTATATTTCTGTTTTACCGAATTGCCGTGAGCTGCCTTTCGTACTCGGTTTCACTGTGAAGTTTGGACCAACATGTTTGCCGCTTTTCTCCAGCCATCGAGCTTCTGATGCTACGGAAACCAGAAATCCTGTTTCCTTGAAGATATACGCGTCCCTTTTGATTGCAAACAGCAATCAATACTTTATCAATACTAAACATTAAAAGCAGAAGACATCCCACATAATTGTATTTAAAAAGAAGTCCGTACAAAGTTATTTTAGGTGGAATCCGTGCTAAAACACTCTGCAAGTTCACTGAAAGTCTTCATTTGCAATTTTTGTTTATCCTCCAACGCCTCGCTTTCATGACTAGTCACCAGTTTTTTCCCGCGTGTCCGCCATTTGTGAATACGGTGTATGAGGCTGTGCAGGAAACTGACTCAAAGAGCGTGCCCAAAAGCAACCCCATAATATAAATCACGACAGCACCGGCCCTTTCTCAAACGGCCAATAACTAGATTAGCTTAGCTACTGATTTATCACAATCTCTTTTACCTTCCTGTGCTTCGTCAAATCTGTCATTTTCGGCCAACCAGTTAGCATACGGCACGAAAACTTCATCCTGAACAAAAACAAACGAAAAATCATCGATCAGGGACTGACTCTTTATCATTATTGACAAATAGATTCCCTTCAAACAATCTTCAAGTCAAAGTATCCTACCTTAAATTCTGGATGTTTTTCAGCGAGTTCAAAAGCCTGAAAATAGACAGGAAAGTCAATCAGCAGAGGAAGAGAAACGGGCGCTGAGGAATTGTAAGGTTTGCACTTGTTAGATTCCAACAACGACGACTAAGCTTGTAACGTAACATTTGTTACATAGCTAGACATTTTTCCCTAACAATGTACATTCTCATTAGTTACTTTGAGGTCAGATGACATCTAACAATAAAACTGCTTTCTGCCAAAAGTATCTGAGCGGACAACAATACAAAATCTGTCTACGACGTCAAGGGGTAACAGTGCAACGTTACCCGCGACTGTTGACCGCTCGCTGATATTTGTACACGTTGAAATTTTTCTTCGTGGGCTATGTACAGATGCCTCAATGACTGGTCCCTCAAGAAACTAGTCAGTTTTCGTTCGGTAAGCACAATTAACTGCCTCGATATCAGTCATTAAGTGCTTAACATTCTCGTCTCTATCTCTTGAATTTCTGTAAACACGTGATAATGTTAGATCTTTGTGCCTGTATCACGCATATGTCTTAACTAGATGACGTCATACCTCGTCCCAGTGCTTTGTTTCAACATGCAGCTCAAGCAAGGCTTTGACGTCACCAATCTTGATGTACATCTCAGTGGCATAACCATGCTGATCACAAAACAGGAAAAAAGTATTTCAAGATTAAAGAAACAAGCAACTGCAAGCATCTGGTCATATTCACGATCTGTACATCAGCTTATGGCCGGGATCACCTACCCATCCAAAATATTGTCTTTTATCCCATGCCATAAAGTAGACAGCCAATCAGAAAGCGATACACCGGTTGCATATTCTGCTGTATGCAACGGGCAGTATTTCACTGGCGAAAAATTCCCAGCGATGCTTGCGGTCTCCGCATTTTCCCGCCGAAAACAGAGCAGATAGCGACAGACAAAACTTTTCATTCTAAAAATTTAGCCAGAAGCAATTTTGTCTACAACATTATTTGGACATTCAGTATTCTTCCAATTAACCTGTAATGTCGAGGTACATTTTGTGTCGTCAAGAGTGGATGGGATAAATTAGTTATGTAATGCTTTCTCGTGGAATAACGTGATTTTTAGCGAGAAACAATACTTAGAAAATAACTTGAGGTTAACTCAGGCTGTGTTTACACTATATCGGATGTCTTTTGCGCCGGTACGAAAACCATACCAGAAAGGGTTTCTATTCATACATAAGGACGGTGATTTCGGCGCGATTTGTTTAACGGAGCGAAACTGCGCCTCGCCGGTCTCTAAAGTGGAGAGTCACATATCGGATAGGTGTTCGTACTATACCGGATACCTTTTCGTATCATATAGTTCACATTATGAACATAGCCTTAACTTGAAAAGATGATGTGATTTTCACTGGGCTTTCTAAAAGTCCTTGATTTTTTTTCCTGGTTGGTTATGCCATTTTAAAGGACTTTCAATACCGCCGGTGACGTCATGATAACTGACCAATAGGACAGTGAGCGATATTTCACACCACTCCGGACACAGCATATGTCAATCATTTTTTCCCGCGTGAATCTATAATATGATTCAAATCCATTCAGGCGAAACAAGTCGACCTGGAGACTTCGTCGCTCGCTCTGTTGCTGCGCGACCTCATGCATTGAAGCTCGCTTCGCTCACTTTGAAGAACTTATGAGAGGTCGACTTGTAATAAGTCTAGATTTTCACATGCACGTGGCTTTTGTTACGAAAAAAAAAAAGAGTATTCCTAAAGTTGTACCTGATCAAGCTGCTTAAAGTAGTAGGCACATTGCTTCAGACCTTCAGTGTCTGCTTTGTTGAGATTGCGACCAACTTCTAGCAACCTAGGTGGCACAAAAAACACGTTTAGTTACTACAATTTACCGTGTATTGATTTTGTTTTTTTAAGTCTTGAATGCGCTTGGATAAAAAAGAAAATAAGCTTACTTTTCTACCCAGCCATTCTGTCCAATAATATCAATCGCTTTAAGGTTTTCACCAGCAGCAAGAAACATATCCCTGGAAAGGAAGACAGACAAAAAAAGTCAGAAACAAAGAATCAACTTTGAATAAGGTTCTTCTGCCTCACTCTTTTCAGCCGCTCCAGTATTTACATTGATGCGCGTTATGATTAGCTCAAAAAAAAAAATCGCGCCACTAAGACTTTTTCAACCAACCACAACTCGCCGGCATTTTCCCACGCTTGGAACCAGCAAAATGTCTTTGCATCGTGTTCTGATTGGTTCACGGAATTGACTACCTGTTTTCTGATTGGTCAGAGCAAACCAATGGCGACCTTCTCGCACTCATTTCCCGCGCCTCGGGAGCCGGCGACATGAATGTACTTTCCTTGAATTCTGATTGGTTCACAAAATAGACTACGTGCGCTGTTATTGGCCAGATGACCAAACAAAATGAACCAAAAGTGACTTGGCGTTTTCCCGCGCCACGCACCAGCGTTATTATTTGAAGCTCTCACTGGTTTAGTGAACTGACTGCATCTCTTGTGACTAGATCTCCAGTGATAATTAATACTTACACCGCTGCCTTGGGGTCGTTTGTCGTTTCACACCATTCAGCCTGTTTCTTGATAAGCTGCTTGACATTCTTTTGATCACTGCTTCCGATAAAGTCCTAGTTTGAGAAAATAACGAAAAACATTTGCAGCGCAGAAGGTCATGTTAAAATGGTTTAAACCAAAAGAGTTCTGTGGTTTGCTGTTAGCTTAAGTAAAAGAGATTCAAGTGTTTTGACCCGAAACGTCAATTATTTTGATCCTTGTGATGGTCGCTTATGTTGTTCTAAAATTACAATTTGTGTTGTCTTCTCTTTGGCCAAAACATTTGTCACGTACTCTATACACAAAAACAGTTCAGAAGGCTATCACAACTTCTATAGCACTTATGTCAACTGGAAAACTATCGACCCCTTTCCTAGGTCAATACATAAAGGAGTTTAAATGAATTATAAAAAGAATAAAGCGAGAACTGAAAAAAACGTAGTTCTCTACCTTGGCATATTCAAACTGCCTGAGGTCAGTAAACATTTCCATCGCCTAGAAAAACAAAACAAGATAAAAAAGAAAAATACAATAAAATACTTAGTTAGGAATTTTTTTCAGTGTGGGTGGTCACTTTATGATGCAACCAACAAACCTTTTCGTCGTTTCCAGTTTTCTTGTACAGCTTTCCAGCTTCATGAAATTTGCCCTGAAACAAAAATCGTAAAAAGAACTAGTGTCTAAAGCTCACCCTTTACGTGAACTTCACGTTACATCAGATTGTCAATATTATGCAATTTCAATGTCCTCATTTGTAAAATCAATGAAGATAAATTGAACCCCAAAAGAAGACTAGAGTCCTTCCCAACAGCTTGAAGGGTGGCAAGTTTCACAATTTTTGGTCCAGGCTGCGCTGAGATTATAACGAAGTATTCTCAGTCATCATTTCTCATTTTATGAACTTTAAAAGAAAGATATCAAATGACTCTATCAAAGGGAAAGAAAAGCATGATCGATTTTTGGTCATTTTTGACAACACAAGAGTTTAACTTGAAATATAGCTGGCCCATCTTTTTCAATTTGTAATCCGTTTTCATCCTGGCCATCAAAAGCTAAAAACATTCACTTACAGTTGAGATTTAGTAAAAGATTAATTTTAAATAAAACTGAACCATTTTTCCAGGGTTTTCTTTGATTGCAAAGTGCTTTTTTGTGTTTTAATTAAAGTAACAAAAAATCGTGACATAGCTGTTCTCCCGATGTAAGGGAGTCGGGATTCCATTTCGAAATCCAAGAAATTTTTGCCCGAGGAATCCGGAACGCGGGAAAATTTTGCCTCTGGAATCCGGAATCCCGGGTGAAGACGACACTTTCTTTGCTATTAAAATACGGCACAAGGAATCTGGAATACCACAAACGATTGGAACCCGAAATCCAAGGTCCACTGACAAATACTGGAATCCAGTACCTAGAATCCGGAATCCACCGCGTGGAATCCAAGACAGTCTTGGATTCCTTCATCCTGTAATGGATCGCTAGCTGGCATATCACTAAGTACTAGAAACAGAAACGTTACAAACCTGATATGCGTACACATCCGCTAAAAACGCCTGCTCATCCGTTTCCCCTTTCTTTTTACGTTCCTGTTAAACAAAACAGATCACAGAGGAAGACATAAGCCAGTTTTGCTGAGCTTTCACAGGAAGCTAACCACAAAATATGAATTCTAAAATCATGCACCTTGTGTTTTGTTAAAAATTACGAGTCAAAAAACAAAACAAAACTTTTAGTATCGCTAAAACTAACCTCGATGTTGTGAATAAGCTCCAGATATCTCAAGTCCCGAACTCTGATGAATGCCTAAACATGGCAAATAAGCAAACTTTATTCAAATGTCTAACTTAACAACCTAAAAGGGTATGTCTCTTTACAAGTTACAATTTACAACAACATTAGTAGTATTCCCCGGTGTGGTGGAGGGACTGTAACAGACCCGCATTAATTGGGGCCATGCGCTGTTGCGACCCTGCCAAGAATTGGCGAACCTAACAAAACAATTACTTCAGCTAGTAGGTTTAGAGTCCTGTCATATACAGGGAAAATTACAAACACTTCTTGGTAAAACTGATAAGAATTATTTTCAAAATATTAAGAATATTCAAGGTTTACAATGCAAACCTCACCTTTTTCGCTGTGTCAAAGTCCAAGCCCTGTAAAGGAAAAATGTGGATCATTGCTAATAAATAATGGTAAAAACCCCAACAAATCTCAGTCGGAATCCGCCTTGGAAATAGAAGTACACAAATTGTTTTTTGGCATCCCCTAAAATGAAGGCTGTTTTCATGTTTTTCCCTGAATTTGACTTTTTCACTCTTGACAGTACAGTAACGTTCAAAAGTAATAAAAAAGTTAAATCCTTAAAAGGCAGGAGACAACCACTTGGCTGTTTGAATACATAGTGATCAAAGTTTGAATTTAAGTCAGGGGAAACTGCGTTGAAATCCATTGACCTAATGCCACCTGCTATAAAGTTAAGATGAATGCTGTCCATGAAAAACAAATCACCTCAAGGGCGTCCATAGCGAGTGCTCTCCAGTCTCCTTCAGTTACACCAAGACAAGCAACTTTGTAGGCATCCCTGGAAAAGTAAATTTCCACAGTTACAGTGTATCTATTATGAACCGTGACAGGACTACCGTAAATCCTCTATTAAGCCCCACAGGGGGCTTATATATTTCAAGCCCATTTGAGGGAGAAGTGGGGGGGGGGGGTATTTGAGTGGGAGGCTCATTTAATTTAGAAACGACGATGGTATCAGTTCTCCATAAAGAACTAGAATACAAAGTGGAACAGTTCAAGTACAAGAAGTTTTAGCTCTTGCAGCCGACGATCAGAATCCGAACTTCCACTTGGTGAATAAACCATCCCAGATAAGTCAACACGAAGTTTTACAGTCGTGATTGATCAGTACACTCTATCATTTATTACTGAAGAATAATTAGGGGAGGGAAGGGGGGCTTATGATCTTTCTTTCCCTAAAAAGGGGAGGGGGGAGGGGGCTTATTTGAGGGGGGGGGGGCTTAATAAAGGATTTAGGGTAGCTCGGTTGCTAGAGCATTTGCTGCGGAGGGTGAGGTCCTGGGTTACATCGCCGGGACTGAGGCAATGCTCAGGAAAAAAAATTAAAATAACTGAGAGCTTTGTCCTACAACGGCTGAGACTTGGCTCGGATGAGCACATATCAATGGTGGATACTAGGTGGGATGACAGCGCTAGCCTGATCTTAACTGTTTTTTAAAAGACTCTAGTTGGTAGCTTGAACTCTTGACCTCCAATTCCGCATATCACTGGTAACTTGCCCTCCTGGACTGTGGTAACTTGCCAACTTAAAAGAGGGTTACCGCTCCTAAATATTATCATTGAATCTTCGCATTTCAAGTCAAAATGGTAGATGACAAATGGCTGAAATGTTAACAAGCTGTACGAAGCCAAAAAGCTTTGCAACTATCAAACGCAATAGCATCATCCGCGTTTGTTGCTATCTTCATTACCTGTACAGTTTCTTCTCCAGGTACTGATACATAGGAGCGGACTGAAACATTAGATAAGAAACGGTTAATTTTTGTTGAATTAAAGTAAAATACAAAAGATCTAGTATTTATCATAAAAGTGACTTATTTAATCAGGGACGTCGCAAGTTAAAAATCCATTGTCAGAATAAATGAAACCAGAATCTCAGAATGGATTTTACCTAAAACAGTGATACCTGACGGTTTTTATCGAAATCCAGGACTTGTTTGAAAAATGGACAGATCTAGAGGAAAGTTTTTTAAGACCATTCAATAAACTCATGCATGGTTCAACTAAATAATGACTGAAGCTTCAACAAACCACGGACAAATCATTACTAAATTAGTTAGAAGAGACCTTTACATTCTGAGGACAAGATTTGACTTTTTTGTGTATTCTAAAAAAAAGACATCCTGTTTTTTCATCAGAAAAGTTAACGCGGTTATTTTTATTGAAGCCCTCTCCCCATCGCAAAATGATAAAACTCCTAACATTTAATAACTTGTTTCCGCTTCACTAAAAACTCGTAGCAAAATGATGATAGCTATAGCATTTTCCCGCCAATATGACGCCGGTTCACGTGCGTACACTAGTTTATAGTACTGAGAGTCTTGCTCTCAAAGTCAAAGGGAGTTTAAGATACCACGACGGCGACGGCCACGAGAACTTCGCTTAAAAAGTGAATTCGCGTTCTTTCAATCTCTATCGCGATTACTCCAACTGATTTACTTTATCAAATGCAAGCAAACTCTTTTTGAACCGAATTCCTAAAAACAATATTCACGTTCAGAAAGAGAAAGACAATTTAGCCGTCGCTTGTGTTATTTGAGAGGGGGGCTTAATAGAGGATTTACGGTAGGCATTCTCCCGTCGTAGTCGTGCAGTGACGGCAAAGAATTGTACAAAAAAAGCGTGATGCACGTGCAGAGCTGTCGTTGTTGTCGCAATCGTGGCATCTTAAACTAGCTAATGTCTCTCATATCATACCTGTGGAACTTCAACTGCTGACATGGTGTACACGTGAAGGCAGAATATTTTAGACCCAGTGAAACCAACCACAAAACCCTGATGTGTAGAACAAGAAACAGTAGCATTTGTAAGGTTTTCTTTGTAAAACAATGTCAAATTACAATTGAAAAAATGTAAATATTTCATTAACCCTTTAACTCCCAGAGTGTGAATAATGGCGTCTAATAGGGTTGTTCTAACTTTCGAGCCTGCGGATGAAATCTCATGGTGTTACGAATTAACAAGTCGACCACAATTTTTGATGTCTACACTCTCATAGACCATAGCTATAGACCAATCAGCGCGCGAGGATTCGCTCAGTTACTGTAAAATTATCAAAATAATGAAACCTCTTCAGCATGGTATTAATTATTTAGTATGCAGTTCTAACCTTCGAGTCTGGGGATGAAATCTTATGGTGTGACCATTAATATGAAACCTCTTCTGCAGTACTTTCACATGGTACTATTTATTAGTATGTAGTTCTAACCTTTTAGTCTGTGGATGAATTCCTGCAGTGTTACCATTCAAATGAAACCTCTTGAGCAGTATTTTCACATGGTACTATTTATTTAGTACGTTGTCTTAACTTTTGAGTCTGTGGATGAAATCCTATGGTGTGATCATTCACATGAAACCTCTTCAGCAGTACTTTCACATGGTACTATTTAATTAGTATGTAGTTCTAACTCTTGAGTTTGTGGATGAAACCCTATGGTGTTACCATTCAAATGAAACCTTTTCAGCAGTATTTTTACATGGTTTCAAACGGTTGAAATCAAACCTGTAGTTTTTGCTGATGGACAGGAAAATTACTAGCTTTGATATTCAGCATCCCACCACCAGAAAAACACAACATGTCCTGAAAAAGATTGAAATATAAAAATAAATAAAGGTGCTCCTCCAAATGTTAGCGTGGGTGAGGGGCGAGGAACCACCTCTTCCCTCCAATTTTTCCCGCGGGGAGAGAGGGTCTGAACATAGGCTACTTCTCCTCTACCCTGTAATAAAATGCTTTATTTTTTTCCAAGTTTTCTTATGACTTAGACTAACACCTTATGATACCAACTTACTTCATTGTGTGTATTCCAAGCCACACTGTTAGCATTCGGCTCCTAAAGAACAAAGTCACACAAAAATTGGCAACTGTTAAGCATGGAAAAACAACAAGCGTGGACTGATACACTGCCTGAGTGGCCTGAAAGAAAGCTCACTAGTTTTGAATATCACTGAGGAGCGAATGAAGCCAAAAACTTATATCTGACCCACAGCTGAGTGTATGGGGGTCTTCAGGACAAAGGCGAATTTAAACTTCAGGGCCCAGTTGTTCGAACGCCTGTTAGCGCTAACCCAGGTTTCTTTTTTCTTATTATACAAAGTATTCTCTCGGATAATTTTCTCTATTCTTTTTAAAGTATCCGATTATCAAGTTGTAGGCAAAAAGAACTAAACTGAATTTGCTTTTTAAGCTCTCATATAATACAAAAACAACTCTGAAAAACATCTTGCTAACTTAAAATATAAGTATAAGCAAGAATTGCCACGAAATAAACGTAATTGACACAAAATAAACGTAATATAAACGTAAAGCTCTCAAATCTGAGTTCAAATTTCGCATTAACCCTGGGTTATCTTAACCCAGCTTCAAACTACCCGGCCCAGGCCCCAGTTTCAGTTTCCCTAATACTTATCTGCTGGATAGCGCTATTCAACGTTTGAACAACCAGGGCCAGTTTGTTTTGTTGCCATCTACCATGGCCTAACCTACCCTGCCCACCTTGGCTTGATTTGGATAGGAATGGCTAACAGTTGTGTGTGAGAACTGAAAGACTTTTTGCAAAACTGAAGTGAGTAAAGGTTTGGCCTTGAAATCTTTATTGACTTTCATACAGGAATTGGTTTGCTCTCTGTGCAAATGAAAGGCTTGAATAAAAACAGACAGATAGTAAGTGAGCTATGATAAAACAAAACACTACCTGGAAAAGGAGCTCATTGTTCTTGATGTTGTAAACCAGACAGGTGTTGTTCTCATCAACCACAGCCAACTTATTACGGCTACAAAACAATTTGAAAACATTTTAACTGGTCAACTATAGACTAAATAAACTTGGTACACTATGGCAATTTATACACATCACAGTAAGTTTGTACTGTAAGTTACAAGAACGTTTTATGGCCAGTAATCCAAGAGGAAAACAATTGATCCATAACATACGTTATTACAGGGTCGTCACTAAGATTTCAAGTTGACAGGTAAAAACAACAAGTAGGTGGCAAATCAAACAGCTACGAATTTCTTTTGGTTCTATTTTTCTTCTATCTTCCAATGAAAGAAGCCAGAGACCACATTCACAGTAGCTGGGGGAAATCCCTGGCCCTGTTATTGTATGGCTGAATGCATGAGTGTCCAAGATGAAGTGAATCTTTTGTTCTCATTGGCATTCTGAGTGGGCAAGATGTGCCCATCTTGCTTACTTGGGATTTCCCCTGTTGGCACCGAAAGATATGGTTCTCTTTTTAGCCATATTAATAATAAATCCTTCATTGACCAAGTCTGTTTGGTCAGAATGACTGGATGTCGAACCGCCTCAATCTTTCTTGCATTTTTATTGACCTTGCATTTTTCTGGGTTCATAGACATGCAAAAAAGAACTTGGCTAATACTCATCTATCTTGAGCTCACACTTGGTCTCTCAAAAAAGAATATGTTCATACATAAAGCTAGTTAGTTCAGAGTCACATTTGAGGGGTAAGGTAACTTACCTGCTGCTCAAGTCAAGACATCGAACACTTGTCTCTTGCTTCAGGATTTGTAGTGGAAATGGATTGTTGATAAATATCTTCATGATCTGATTAAACGATAAACAAGAAACTCTATCAATAATAAACACCTGCCATTAAAAGTTAGCAGCTTCTTGAAATATTGTCTGGATTAGAGACTTTTAATGTAACCTTAAATTTTGCAATATTGTTTTACCAGCAAATACAAAGCAGCTTGGAAGTATTATTTACAGGTTCATCACTTAAAGCATAAATCTTTTTTCCATACATTCCACAAAGTTTGTGATTTTTATCCATTTAAATTCTCCACCAAGTTATAGCAAGATTATTGTTCACTCTAATTTTGGAAACTGTGGATGAAATCCTATGATGTTACCATATTACATTTAAACCAGCCTCTTTGGCAGTACTTTTGGCAAGGGTTGACTCAGAGCAAACACATTCAATTTTTAAACTGTTCTTTTTTTCGTTTTTCAAATTTCTTCCGAAAAACAGGGAGTCCATATGCCATCCAAATCTTTTTAAGGAGCATAATAAACCAGCAATGAGCTTTCATTTCAAGCTTATTTACTTATGGCACTGGTCTTTTCAGGCGAAGGGAGAAAATCATGTTGAGGTTCTGCACCACTAAAGAGGAAAAAACTCCTCTCCCCTTAACTTCACATGTTCTCCTTGCATGCTACATAAAAACTAACCACTAAAAATAACCAGCGACTGCCACTTATCTCTTGACCCATTGATTTAATTCTAGACAGGTCAATAATTATTGCTCAATACTGAGCATTTTAGACAGAGCATTAATTCTCTTTTAACAGCGATAATTTTATTCTAAGTTATATTCAACACGTAACGTAACTCAAAAAAAATTAAAGGTACCTGTCCATTTTTCAAGCCAACAAGAAGTCCCTCTCTGCCAGAGGGTCCTCCAATCACTTTAATGTAGCGAATAAGTGACTCCATTACCCATTCTCTGTCACAAATAAAATATAACAAGGGGTGTTAGCACCTTTTGAAGTATTATAAGAACAAGCAAAAATAGACAAAATTGGGCCGGTACAGCTGTTGTGGTGTCCTAACTACGTTTTTCTAAGTAAATTTGTCTTTAATAATTGTATGTGCCATTAGAGAAGTTGATAAAATAAAATAATAAAAATACAGTTACACCTCCATAAAGCTACCCTTGGGGTACCGCTAAGTGGCCATTTAAAGGAGGTTGGCCGTTGAATGGAGGTTTGTCATAAAATAGCAAAATCTTCAGCAGAAACATCATTTTTGGAATCACGACACTACAGGCCCACAATCAGTCCTCACCTTCTATTGCGGACTACACAAGTATTTCCCTTCATAACAACTATTTTTGAAATAAAGCAATTTAACTAAATGCAGGGCTGTCAATAAGGGCTGGGGGCCAGGAATTTTCCCTGGCTATTTTCTTAGAAAACAAAAGAAAAATGAGACCAACAGAACTCCCCGGCTGTTCACTTGAAATCTTAATTAGTGAAAGCCCTGTGTGGGGTATCAAGCCCTTGATGACCACTTAGTAGAGGTGACAACAATGGGATAACTCTCGTCAGGATGGCCAAAAGGTGTCCATGGCTGCCTGATGGAGGTGACTGCTTAATAGAGATTTCATTTACCATTCTTTGCTACAGCTATTTTGGGACTTAAACAGTGGCTTTTTAATGTAGGTTCATTATCAACCGTATCTTATACTTGCCTTTCTTTGATCCCTGTAAATGCCAGGCACTGGAGTCTTCTTTCCTAAGATTACAAGCATATAATAATTCTAATAAACATTCACCATGAAATTATAATAACCAACAAATATCTCAGAAACTTTGAAAATTTCATTTTTACCTGGCAAAGGATGATGTGATTGGAACAGCAGACAAGAAGATTACACTCAAACTTGCGGTCAATCTTGTCCTTAAAAATGAGAATAATAATTAAGAGGGAAATTCTTTACTCTTTACCATTTACTATATTACGTTATGCTATACTAAAAAACCTAAAAGAAAAAAATCATTTTTTAGTAGTTTATTAATAAAAAAATTACAAAAAAGACAGAAATGTACCTTGACTTTATAATGCATGTCTGAAATATCATCTGTGTTCAGTTCATAAATGACAATCTTGTCAGGTAATTGGACCTGATAGAAGCAAAAATGGACAAGTGAACAACACAATTGTGGAACACAATAGCAAAGAGCTGAGTGAGAGAACAAATGTCTAAAAAGGAACAACTGACCAACAGACTTAGTTTGAAAGAACAAGTGATCAGCAGACAAAATGAACAGATGATTTCAATACTTACAGCCAGTCTGTGTCTGTAGATCGCAATCTTCTTTACCAAGTCACGGCACTTGATGCGAACTGTGAAACAAATAAAAAAGTTGACACCCAAGCTCATACACAATTACAATAAAGTAAAATTGCCTGCAGTAACATACCTTTCTGCTCTGTGATTAAGTGCTGAATAATGACATCTGTCATGTTGTCTCGGAAAGCATATCTGTTATTGAACACAGGAGGAAGATTGATGATCTCATAATTTTACTAATGCCGTTACATGAAAACCAAGCAACATAGTATTCTATACTCCACTTAATCAGCTCTAATGGGCACAGAGCTACCCAATGGGGGTGTGCTAAAACAGGATTTATATGTCCAATGTGAGGTGACCTTCCCTCCCTACTTACTCACACAACCCATGAGACATAGAGACACTTGGGGTCATCACTACCATGGATTGTGCATGTTCAGCCATTCCTTTCCTTCGGGGAGGGGGTGGGGGGCTGTACATGGTTATCACAGCCAGAGATTGTTAATCCCTGATAGTTCTTATATACCTTGCAAGAGTCATACAAGAGAAGCACTGAGATGGAGCCTTGACCGTTTTTTCCTTTTCCAAGAAGAAGGTCTAAACTATTGCAGATGTGAAACAAAAGCAGTGCATTCTTCTGGGTTATTTTAAAAACCTACATGTTCATCCAGCATGGACTTAACACTTTTGGTCAAAATGTAAATTTGAATAAGTTGAATTTTAAAATAGCATTTGAAACAGAAATCTGCCTTTAAGCACTTTTCACTATTCTAAGACAAAATGCAAGTATGGGGGTTAAAGGGTCTGTGTCACCCTATTTGCTATCTTTGCAAGGCTTAATTGTGTCTTCGCATCATTTAATTCTAAAAATCATGGTCCAGTTTTGTTATTGTAGGCGACAAGAGGAGCGCACAATCCTAATCTCCAGGTTTTCATAACTCATGCATTGCATCTATGTAGCCAGCACTCGTTTGGACTTCCACTAAGAATGAATGGAATGCACAGAACGCTTTGATCATGAGCATCTCGACCTTCTACCCCTCGTAATCTGATCATGCGTGTTTTGACCATCTGTCACATGAAACTTATGCAAAGCACAGCGACGGAGCAAAAGCGTTTTGACCTTTGATCGTTGTCGTCCCCACTCCCTAACCTTTGGTTATATTACTACTTTAATACTATACTCAGTCGATGAAAATTTTCCTGTTATCTGTTGCTACCGATGGCAAAGATGGACATGGATTGAAGCACTAGCTTTTTCAAGTTGTAATACTATGCATGCAAAAAACCAAAAACTATTATGATTACTGCTCCCTGGTGAAATTTGATAGACATCTTCTTCACAACACTACAGGAGCATTAATTTTTGTGTATGGGTTAAGGCACCAACTAATGAATGCAGCACAGAATTATTGATCTAAAACAGCAACATCCTCGAGCCATGGCCCCTTTAAAAATATCTCCAGCTGCCAAAAACGAACCTGTCTTTGTACAAGCCATGAACAGTACTGAAGATAAGTTGATAATATGCTATTGTACCATCTTGACATCCCAGGGCCTGAAAAAAAAAGAACAGAAATTATGACCACCTAAAAATTTATAAAAAAAACAGGAGTTCACTTTACCATCATCATCACTGTTATTTTTGACATTGCCATGTAGGAATCATTATTCGGATCATCGCAAGTCATTTGTTTTCCCTTGTGGCATTACCAGCATCAACAGCATTGCTGCCAACAACAACACCACTGTCACTATCATTACCACCACTACTGACACCCCTACCAACTCATCACTAATAACAACCTATTATTACTGCCCCCACCATCGTACTTATCATTATCAGCAGCACAACTACTCTATCGTCCTCTATCACCAACATCATCATCCTCATTAGAGGCCGTTAGGCTGGACTATGAGTATGAGATTGAGTACTGGTAGAGTTATCAGACCAAGTTCACATGGCCTAGATTCATGTAATCAATAATATTGACAAACCAATCTTATCTCTTACATCGTGTTATGTGCTGGTCACTACCAGGAAAAGTGAGAGTTCTGGTGACTTGATTAGTTTTAAAGTCGTACTCAAACTTGATATTGCACTCATAGTCCAATATAAAGTTTTCTATTATAATAATCATCTTCATCACCATCATCATCTTAACAACAACAGACTATAAGATCATATGAAGAAATCTAATTATTCTTACCACATAGTTAGAGTCAGGTCTGACTCTACAGCACCAAACCCAACTTTGCTGTTCTCCGATAGACGTTAGGCATACTCCTTCTTTTGTGTGGAGAGAGCACTAGGGAAAAATAGATTGAAAAAAATGACAGATGTTAAAACATCTTAAACAGGTCAGTTCAAAAAGGCCATGATTAATGGCTAGTCCTTTGGTACATTAACAGTGTCATCATGTTTTTACCTTTTTTAAGCATCACTGTAATTCTATTATAGTCAAACGTTCCACGGGCAACAACCCAAAATACACAGATTTGTGGTCGCTTATGAGAATAACACCACAGGGGCCAGGGGGGGACTCCCATATAAAAGTGACAGGGATGCTCATTGTTTCGCTTTGGGGTGCAAATTGCAGATTTTGGTCTCACTTAGGTTGTTTGGGATGGGAAGTCACCATATTTGCCCATTCAGGTATCGTTTAGGACTGTGCATAAAGAAATTTACAAAAAATGCCCTGACACTGACAACACAGAAATCTCCCTCAGGGGTCAGTTTAAGCTTGAACCACACCCAAATTGGTCTATTGGTTTAATTTGAATTCTCCCATGAGCATCCCTATCCCGTTTATATGGGGGCCCCCCCCCCTGGGGCACAGGGGGCCTTTTCCGAGTAGAGGTCCTGACACATCTACTTTGTAGAAAATAATTTGTTATGTTTTCACATTAGTACCCAACGATTATCGTACTAGGGTACCATGCCCAGACATCAATTAGTGTGAATGTTGCCTAAAACTCACCTTTTTATCAGATCCCCCAATAACAAGGTATTCACCTTTGGAGAAAAAACTTAAGCAACATGGGTCATACCCCAAGTGGCGATCCTTTCCAACCTGTTAAAATAATGAATTATTGTTAGAAACAACTGTTGTAATTTATTATTTAAACGTATCTAAACTCCTTTGCAAAGAAGCCTTTTCCTCCATTAAGAACTATGAAGAGCTGACTGCCTGACACCCTTAAAGTAAAGCTGATTTGTGCACATGACATGGTTGCCCGCCAAAATTCCCCTACTTTACCCTGACAAATATATAATTTCCCTGATTAAATGAATTAACAATTTCTCAAATTTGTCCTGATAATGGCCTCCATCCTTCCCTCACAGCCACTGTCTCCACCCATTTATTTATGATTTCAGCAACTCAGTCGTGCAGTGTGCGTGAACAATAGTTCCCTAACATGATGTGCAAAAAGGATGGCAATGAAAACCCAACATCAGTTCATTGTTCAATTTCATGAATACAACACGCTTCATGTCCATAAAATGTACCAAAGAACTTTAAATGTTAGAAAACAACAAATGTAGAGGGAAGATAATAAATATGTACTCTTAAAATTTTACTTTTCCCTGACTTCTTTCAAAGACTTAAATTTTCCCTGACTTTATTGAAGTGAAATTTCCTGACTTTTCCCTGACCTTGAAGAAATTTTTTTCCCCTGACCTGTGGCAAACATGCATGACTCAGAGCAAAATGTGGCATTCATTTAGTGTAGTTCCACTTTTAATAGATGCATACAGAGTAACTTGTCATAAGCAAATACAGCAACCCCTGTTCAACTTCAAGTAAATTCAATGTTTCTATTTAGGTAGAGTTAAAACCACAGGCAACCAAAAAAACATTAATATTAACCTGTTTTCCACTGAGCTGAAAAAATGAGAGCTTCTGTGACCAGTCACCCACAGCTAAAATGTCATATGGCTCTTCTCTGTTAAAATAAAACTGGGAATTATCATGGTGAAGAAAACTTCATTTAGTGAGGGTTACACTTCACCCTTGAACTCACAGAAGTGATCTACATGTAACTTCTTGTAATATCACTACATTGCCCAGCAGACAGGTTATGAGAATAGAGGACGTTATCTTGATATAAACCCAAATTCCCCTACTATAAAGTAAAAATAGCAGCCAGAAAAGAGAATTACTAGTCAGATCAAACTCTCCACAGCAATCTGGTGGCGGGGTGGGAAAAGGAAGGAGAGCTTGCAACTACCTCTCTGCAATTTGAATATCTGCATCAAAAAAGTCGATGCGAAATGCTGATTGGAAGAGATGACATTAGTAATGACGTCATTTGAGGTGGAATTCAAATTCCAGAGACGTGGTTGCAAGTTCTCCTAATTATTGTCTCCTTCTTTTCCCGCCCCACTGCCAGAGCACCCCGATCTCTAAGTGCCATGCCCAACTAACTGAAGACACTTTTTCTAGTTCAATTCGGGTTATGTGTACAGCTGGTGCTTGAGAGAGGAAACCCAGGGCATGTACCTGGAGGAATACCTCTTGAAGCAGGGAAGAGAATCAACAACAAACTCAACCAGTCATACAGTTACGATGACAATGCTGCAATTCACACAAAGCAGAGCTTGGGGGCAAGAGCTCTCTACAAAGTGCCATGCCTGCTCCTGTTTATCCACAGAATGAAAAATAAAACTGAGAATTAGATTGTATTTCCTTTATTTAGCACCCTGGAAGCAAAGTAGCGGAATGGGTACACACATGTTGATGCTTCCTAATAACTTACTTGGAAGGATTCCAGCTCAGTGTCCAAACTGGAGCATTTCCTGGTCTCTCAATCTTAACCTTTTCTTCACCACCCTAAACAAAATCCAAAGAAATTAAGAAATTATTAGAGACCTTAAGATTGAGGTTTTTCGGCATTTCCCACGAACTGCGAACATCAAGAAGTCACATGATCAGGGCTTTGCTGTCAGGTTTGTGGTTTGAGGTTCACGTTTGTACACCTAGACCATGCTCCAGCGGTAAGTGATTTTACTACAAGGTTTTTTGCACCCTAACACATCACAACCCCGTGTTTGAGAAGAAATACGACTTTTTAGAACTCTTTTGTTTATTGATTATTGAATTCTATTTCAAAAAACGCAATTTTGGAGCCAATATCTCAGGCTCTAAAAAAGAAGAAAGTGGATGAATGAAAACAAACATGGCAGCTGCGAGCTACCACTTGCGAATCTTAAGTCCCAAATATGGGCAGATGGGTAATGTGAAACCGTTAACCGCAAACCGCAGTTTGTCGTTTGCAGTAAAATGGCCAAACCTTGATCTTAAGGTCTCTATTAGCAATACTTAACCTTTGGCATCAGTAAATTACATCAAAATTTGATAATAAATGATGGCATTGGTGACTTACAGATGTAAGTGCAAATACAGACACAGAAAAAAGCAGATAAAAAAGAAACTCCTTTTTTATACCTTGTTCCTTATACTAATAAATCCATTGAAAAGTCCAAGGGCCAAATATTGACCATCATTTGTCCAGCTGAAAAAGAAAGACACACAGCACACACACAGCAGTGGTTACACAACAAAGTTCCTGAAAAGTTCGGCTCCACGATCGCACAAAAAATCAGAAGCCCTATCAAGTTCCCTATTAAAAGTTGTAAACATAGTTTTTCTGGTCATCAGTGCTAAAAGACTCTCGTAATAATATTATACAAATGCACCCACCTACAAGCTGTTACCCTAGAGGGCACTTTATGCTTTTGAACTGACTTTTGTTCAGGAGACCATAAACCTTTGGAAACACACAGAAATACTTGTTTGTGTACATGTACAATACACTAGGAATGTGTTCAGTCGTTCATCATGCCAGGCTCAGCCCAGAATAATGGCTGTGGAGATGCCGAACTTCACACGAGCCAAACCAAATGAATTTAGTTCAGCTAGAACAAAGATCATTGACTGAATGAATTCAGTTGGCTAAAGTAATTTGAGTTGCCCTAAATTCGGATTTGATTCGGCTCACGTGAAGTACAGTGTTTGACCAGGCCTAACTCCTCCAACATTGGCTTCCTTTGAACAACAACGACAACAACATCTTCTATTTAAACATGGCGGGTTTTAAAGTTAATAATAGCTTATGGGGCCGTATAAAAAATAATAATAATAAAATAAAAAATAAAAAAAAATTGTTGATAAAATAAAATAATAAAAATTATTAAAATTAAATGTAGTCCATAAAAGGTGAAATATGTACAATAAAAGATATGAGTAGAATTAATAAAAGATGAAATCACTGTCAATTTGGGGACGACCCATTTGCGGTGACTCTTCATTAAAGTTCAAGTTTCTGAGGGCATGAGACTTTTTTGCCCTTTTGGCATAGTCCCTGGCGCTGACAGAGGATGGTTCTAAAAGATTCCAAACAATGGATCCTCTGTAAGAAATAGAGTTTTTCATATAACAAGTTTCAAAACGTTGCACGCTAACACGATGTTGATGATGGAAGTCATACTTAGACTCTTTCGTTTGGATTAATTTGGATCAGGCAACATTACATCTGATCTTCTTTGACTCACTTTACATACTATTTCCTGATCAGGTTCAATTCAGTTAGAAAGTCCCCCTTTACAAAAATATGAAGAAACCTTCACAATGAATCTAAAGCTACAATAAAATGGGCAACAAAAACATACAACTTTTTTTTCAACATTGCTGCAGAACGTGTTGAAAAGCGATGCTGCATGTTTTACCACCCATGTTTGAATGAACCTATCTTGCAATAAATTAAGGTTGCTGCAAGACTGCAAGCTTGCTGTTAATAATAACAAACACACTCACCAAAGTCATTGGAGGTACAGCTTGCAAGTTGCTGAGTTAATGGATTGTAGGCAAGGCACTGGATAGAGTCATTATGTCTAAAACAATAAAATTTTGTAATTACCACAGATGTTTGAATTAGTGCACCCTCTTTCAAATTGGTGACTTCTTGAAGCTAAAAAAATTAATTGAGGGCTCATAACATGTACAAACACAGAAATAGCAGGTGTAAAACTGTAAATTTGTTGCTTATGTTATAGTTAATTTTTTATCTCAGGTAATTTTTATCTCTCCTTTGTTTCAACTTCATTAACATACATTATATACCATACCCAAAAACCGAAAAAAAGAGCAAAAATTACCTGGGATAAAACATTAACTACAACACTTACGTGTATTTTAAAATGCCTTCTAATTTAGATGTCCAAATGATGACACTCTTGTCAGCTCCACCAGATGCAAACCTTTTGCCTGTAATAAACAAAAGATTGTAACACTTTTACTCTGCAATCAACAGACAAATTTGACCCCACCCCAGTAATACAACCACCCCATTGATACAGCCAAATTTTTTTACCCATTAGTGGTCATATTAAAGGGGTTCCACTGTACCACTAGCAGCAAAAAATATTCTTCCGTGACCAACAGCAGTAAGATAGCCCAGTTCTTAACCCATTGTCTAGCTGGTTAAACTATAGTGCTTAATTGCAGCCTCGTCACCAAAATGAGGCTGCATATCAGTGACTACTGGATGGTTCCAAGAGCACTGCAAAGCCTCTGCTATTTTTTCTTACTACTTAATTCTGATCCCAGTTGTTCAAATGTTGGATAGCACTATCCACTAGATAAATCACTAGCCAGCGGGTAAGTGAGTAGCAAGTGTCAGGGAAACCAATAATATAATAATAATAACCAATAATATTGTGCTATCCAGTGGATAGAGATTTATCCATTGGTTCATGTTATCCACCCTTTGAACAACTGGTGACTGATCGCTAAACATGTTTTTTTGGTGTTATTCTACCCCAGTTGAAAAATCTTCTGATTTTGCTATCACAAACTGAATTAACCAAAAGTCAACTGTGGCTTATCTATATGACTATCCATGACTATGCCCCACAAGTTGAGGTCACAACCCTATATCAGAGAGAGGAATGCTGTGTGAATCACTGCATGTCACTCAGTTAATCAATTAACAGGAAAACCTACTGTTATGTTATCCCAATATTTTTAAGTCTGTTATTGTGATCATTCAACATCATTAAACAGTACTTTCCCACTAACATTTGAGACTGTTGATGAAATCATGTGGTGTGACCATTCAAATGAAACTCCTTCAGCAGTAATAACGTAAAGGGACTATTCAAGTGCCTGGTATACTTCTTAATAGACTGACAGAAAAAACCCGCACCATTAACATTTTTTCTCCTTTTTGATATTTTAGCGATCAGAAAGGTTAAATGGGGCAACCTCAACTTGTTTTGGAATTCTTCCGAATACAGCTGTTTATACAATGTATCCATGTATTAAATCGATTTGGCAGACGTTTTTAAGATATTAAACTGCTAACGTACATGGTAAGACATAACCAACTAAAATCATGCATAAAAAAATAAATTCGCTTAAGGTATCTGAAGGCGTTCGATCTGGGTTTCTAGACAATGCGGTTCCTGAAATGTCAAGAGGGGTTATCAAAATTCTGGGGCTTCAATTAAATTGTAAGTTAGTATAAAAGGCGATCAAATTCTCAAACTGCATGTCGAACGTGAAGAAAATAGGATAAAACAGTGAAAATAATTTCTACACGAGTTTTGCACGATTTAAGAGACAGATCAATCAGTTTGGGGAAAATGATCACGAATTAGGTCGAACTATTTCTAGCAGATCTCTTACCATCCCGGGAATAAGCCACACAGTACACGGTCTCCTTGTGGCCTTTAAGTGGCTGAATAAGTGTTCCATCGTTTGTGTCGTAAACCTAGGAAAATATTCGGCAAACGATCACCAAAATTGTATAATTTATACGGAAAATTTTCAGTCAAATCTGTAGTTACCAGAACGCGGTTTCCAGCAGCAACGATAAGCTGACTACCATCTGGCTTGAATGCGAGGTCGTAAATACTGCAGTGCGAAAAGATTTCATATCAGAATTGAATCGTACGAAAGAAAAATGTCTGAATATATCACAGATCTCACCATTGCTCGACTCTATCCTTATCATGAACTTTATCGACCCATGTTGGTAGCGCTCTCATGATGGAAGAAGCAAAATAAAAACTTCAGACGACCGAAGAGACTTATGGGATTGTAAACGAAACTCTAGACACGAAGGGATTCATGGGATGGCAAAATTTTTTTTTCAAAGTCGACGAGGAAAGAAATTACTCTCTGATCGATTTACTACGCGTACAATACAGTGCACAGTACACTAAATTGGTAATTTAGAAAATTGGAACACATTCGTTTCCCAAACTGACTGATCCGTCACTTCACTTAAATCGAGCAAAACAAGTGTAGAGACCATTCATTCATGCATTCATCCATCCATTTATGTCGTCTTTTAGCCACAAATACAAATCATCTTCAGTGTTTTTTTTTCATTTCACGTTCGACATTGAAGCCCCAGAATTCGATAACCTCTGAGTCGTATTGTCTAAAAACCCATTTTAGTCTAAATCGAAAGCCTGGAAATACAATAAGCGTATTTAAGTTAACTATAAAAGCGAGGAACGAAATTAAATTAGGATTATTAAAGAACGTGTGTTTTCTTAGTGAAGAGTAAGAAGTTGAAAAAAAGCTGGGTAAGAATTGACCAAAACTGGGCAAGGATGAAGGATCGACTTCGGTACGAAACTACAGAAAATGTTTTTTGAATGCAAAACGAAAAATCCCGTGACTCCTTGGATTACGATTAACATGGGGTAACAGAAATTGGACAGTTAAACGTCATGTTGCCTTATCTTACAAGAATGCATTCACAACGGAGCGGTGCATCCATTTTCGCGGCAAAAAGTGCTCTTAAATGTATCTAAAAATAAACTGGTCGTGAAAGCGCGGTGACAGAGAACTAGTATGGGAGTTCTCACTCCGGATTATGGGCTCCTAACAATGCCAGAGGCTTCACAAATTCAAGTTACAGTGCGAAGAGGCTATACAGCAGATGAGCTTCCAAGAATACAGATTACACGGATTTAACACTCAACAAAGGACTCGAGGTTCGAGGCGACTTGTGGTATATAGCCAATAATTGTTGTAGGTCCGCAATAAGTATACACATATAAACCTGTCAAGTTTGTATTCATCAAATACCATACGGTCTGAAAGAGTACACTGAAAAACGTTAAATCTTCTTTAAACCTTAAATTTTCTTCCTATAATTTAGAAATAATTCTTTTACAAATATTTCTTCTACTTTAAGAGTCTTTTAGACTTTCCTTCGCTTGTCTTACCAGAACTTTCATAAGCCAAGCAATAAACTGTGTCCTTATGCCCTTTTAACATGTCCACCATGGTCCCTTCAGCTGTGTCGTAAACCTTGAAAAAAAAAGCGAAAAGAAAAGCAGTGTTAGCCTGCGTAGCAGGCGCTTGGAAGTAGTGGGCGAAAGAGAGAACGGGCGTGCGCGAGGGAGACACCTCTCCCCTCGCGTGTCTTCTTCTCGCGCGCCCGTTTTTTCTTGTGCCCACTACTTCCAAGCGCCTGCTACGCAGGCTAAAGCAGCGTTGTTTATGCAGATGTTATGTCATCATGGCATCGGTCTGATGTCCCGGTCTCTGAAAGAAAGGGGCCATGTCACGCTAATTGCTATCTTTTCGCATCAATTCAACGTCGTCCCCAGGGCTTTTCCCATTTTCTCTAGGGAAAAGCCCTGGGGACGAGGTTGGCATCAATTAAATTTCAAAAATAATGGTTCAGTTTTGTTATTTAAGACGCCTGTTGATAACATTACCCTAATTAAGAAACATTCAATTTTGTTTCTCTTTGTTTACAAGGTTGGCCTTACCCCGCGTGAAAGGAGCAAAAGAGGGAAAGGAAAAGAGAAGCGCGAATTATGTCCTGAAGCAGTGACCCCTGTAGCTAACCCAATAGCATGCAAAAGCTTGAAATTCTAGGACATGAGTTTATAATCATAAAGGAAGGATACTTCCCCCTTTCCCCTACCCCATTAAAGTCTATTTGTTGACTAGCCTGTGTACAGCACCCCCTACCTCCCCTTCAGAAAAATCGGAGCTTCCTCTTTTCGGATGTTTTCTGAGGAGAGAGGGTGGGTTTTCACAGGCTATTTGTTTGCCTTTCTGCTTAGCCTTCGTCCGCACATATCTCAACCTCGTCCCCAGGGCTTTTTCTTTTTTGAGGGAAAAGCCCTGGGTACGAGGTTTCACATATCTGGATGTCTTAAAACTCTCCGTTTTCGAAAAATTACGCGTCCACTTGAAGGGTATTCAAATCTTTTTCGCCCAAAACGCCCAAACGACGGAAATACCAGAGTATCCCTTACAGGGCATGCGCTGTGTAAAAGAATGACATCGTCGATAACCGAAAACCTCCGTTTTGGTCTATCGATCCTCACGAAAACGACATAGCCGTAGCCTGCGAACGTCAGACGTTTCTCCTCGCTCATCGCCTCCGCGGCGATGAGCGAGGAGAAACGTCTGCTTTTCGCAAGCTACATTAGGCGGCGTTTTCAACTCCTCTTTTGTCGTAAGGTCAAAGGTGGTTTAAGAGGTTGTTCGCGCTTCTTATGGTTTGACTTCATGTGCAAAGGGTCTTGACGTGCACAGAAGCTGTTTTTGACAAACAAGATGTCACCTTACACCTTAGATTTTGATACAAAAGAAGACGATCAAAGCCGACTTTTCATGTAGCAAAAGTGATATATGTTGTGTCGACATATGTTGAGAGACTTGATGTCCTCTGATTTATGTGGCATGGTTTTTTGCTGATAACGTTTCGAAATCTACTTTATCTACGCACGAATGAAATAAAACAGGAGTGTTGTTGAATCGAAATTTTTACCACCAATCAACGCTTTGCAGATTTTTAACAATTAATAAACGTCACTACTTGTGTTCTTATCCATCTAGGAATGAAATAAACCAGAAGAGTTGTTGAATGGACTAATTTATCGATAATTTTATTTTCTGACAAGTAATAAGTTTTTAATGACTTTTCTACCTTAAAATTGATTAATTGCCTTCTTTCTCTATATCCGTACCACCTGCGCGTAGCACAAGAGGCAGATCAAATGCCTCTATATATAGCAAGAAAAGGAGCGAACCAAATGGAGTAAAAACTTATCTTCTCTGCGATCCAAGAACAGAAAAAAAATCAAATGTATCCTAGCCGTTTATTTGTTGAAACAAGGCGAGCTTTACAAGAACAGGGTAATGTTTTAGCGTTTTTAGATAGCGGCAATTCCTCTTAATTTTACCGTGACCTTAGCCCCACCACACACTCGACTTCCTGAGACATAAAAGTTCGGTCAATAATCATAACCTTTCACATCACGATGCACTGTATTTGTATGTAAATATGACAGAAACGTTTTAATGCAATCCGCTTTCGAGAAGCTCTGTTCTCACCGCCCCTGTTTCGCGTCTCTTACGATGACTATCAAGCTATTGCGCAGAAACCTAAGAAGTCAGGTCTAAATTCCAATCATAGCACGATGAGTTTGAGCCATAAATTAAAGGCGCGATAAGTAGAGCTCGGCTGCTGGCCAACGGAAGTTTGTTATCACTGTGTTGCCCTCACTTAAAAGTATCCCAGAACAATGTCAAGTTTTGTTATTTTTCCGTCCTGCACCTGAGTGCGCAAAGGAGTTTATACCTCACTACTGTAAAGGGCCGCTTTAAAAAGACGGGTCTTTTTAAATATTTTTGATCGCTTTTCAGAAACATTAGATCGGAAAGCTAGAAAAAGGAAAACGGAATAGAGAGCTATCATTTCCAGACAAGGTATAAATCTGGAGTCGATACTCATAACTCCTTCATCCCTTATTGTCATTGCAGTAGTTCGTTTTTGAAACAGTACAGACCAACATGAACTTCATAAGGCAAGAGGTCGTACTTTACTATACCGTGTACACGCTCGACCTTAGGAATGCAGGTCAAGTATGAATTTTTGACCCAGCAAGATCCGTGAAAAGGTAGAGGGATTTATACAGGGCAATACGGGGAAATGTCTTCAGGAGTTCAGGATTGGGGACACGCGGTTTATAGAGCTGAAAATATCAAGAGATCTGATAAAAGACAGGGGCAGCCAACGACAATTTTCGGAAAAATATCTGTTCGGAAGACGATTTGAGATCTAGAATTTTCGGAACATTTGTTGTAAAATTTTTTGCTTGCCTGCCTCTCCTAGGATTTTCGAACATCTAAAAACTACTATGGTTGCCCTTTTTTGACGGATTTTTACCCTTAAAAGGTCACCCAGAATTTTCCGGAGCCTTTTTTCTGGCTGAAATTTTCGAAAAGGTAAATTTTGATCCCTATAATTTCAGGATCACTAGACTTTCAGCTAGGAAATCCGAACAGATGAAAAAATTTTAGGGGATAAAAATATGCCTATATCTACTGTTTAAATACTAAAATACGTTTAACAATGCTATGTTTAAGTGGTTTTGAACTATATTCCCGTTGGGAGCCCCTGAAAAGAAGCTGCCCATTAGTCCTTGGCCTGTGAATACTGCCTCTTAAACTCCCCCCTGTCTGGGTTTAATCCACAGAAGACACAAAGCATGACAGAAAAAAGGTTAATTTCAATAAAAACGCCTCATCCAACAAAATTCTGGAAATGAAAAAAATAATAATTCAACGATCGACGATTTATTAGAATGTACCGTCGCCAAATTTCAGTCAACTGCAGGAGCCCATTACTGCTCCTATCAACTGGTAACTAATAAGGACTAATTTTCGCCCGGCTGAAGAATTTGACAGGACACTTTGTTGACACGGAGACAGTTCAATATTTTCTCGCTCTTCACACGGATCTTTCGATCTTTGAACCGCTAAGCTTCTAAATTTTCGTGGGTTAAGTTGGTTCCATATGGATGGAACTGACTGACCTAGTTGCACGAATTTTCAGCCAGTGAAAAATTCGTCCCGGTAGTGCCTTGTGAAGGTAGCCTAAACGAATTGTTGGTGAACACGACATAGTTTACAAGAGTATCCAAAATTCAACAAACGTTACGGCGAAGATATATCTTAACCCATAATACTTGTGGCTCTTACTGTAATGGACGCCCGGGCGAGTACTCTCGGGCGGTTTGAGGTGAGGGTGCCGGGTGTACCACCCGGTTAAGGTTCTCCACTCACCCTGATCCACACCCTTTTTCAGACCTGGGGCCCGTTTCTCGAAAGCCCCGCTAACTTTTCGGGCCCGAAAACAAATATTCAAATCGAAATTTAAAGAATAAGAGCGCTTGTCCTGGCTAGCAAACTACTCCATTTTGTTTCATTAACTGATAGTTTTATCACGGTAGATGTAAAACTATTGAAACCTCGACGTTTAATGTAAACGGCAACAGCTTACCGGGCCCGTTAATTATCGGGACTTTCGAGAAACGGGCCCCTGGCGCCGGGTTGTTCAAAAGATGGAAAGCGCTATCCATCGGATACGTATTAGGGAAACCAATTGCGTAATCCAGTGGATAGCACCTTTCGCGCGACTTTCATACCTGACTTTTTAAAGTTTTATACTTGATTTGCCAGCCCATTATCTTGTCTGAGAGAATAATTTTTTTCACGAATGTCTACGAACTTTCTATTATTTGGTACTTTGACACAAAACGGTCTTTTGGGAGCTGAAAGCTGAGACAAATACGTTTATACTCCCTCATGGTTCCCCTGAAAACCACACCAGATTTCACACGATTATGGACAAAGCCTATACTCGTTTTCAGACCAAAACGTTTTAAACACTATACCCTCTAAGAGGGCACATACGTATGCCGCACATATAGGAGACCGCTATCCCCGGTTCCTAAGTCTACGACCCCAAAAAGCTACAGACATTCACTTTAATCAAGATAATGGCACATGGCATTAGGCCTTAAGGCACGACGAAAAGCGACTTTCAATGTGCATTCGCAGGAGACCATGACTGTTTCTAACAAAACTGTGATTCATTTCAGAAGCTGGTGTGAATTTTCGTGCTTCGAGCTCGACTATTAAAGTTTTCTTTCTTTAGAGCGGATCTAATAAATCGCGTGTTGCGAGGAGATTCTGTTGCGATGATCCATTAATCAGTCAACAACATTTATGAAATTATGACAAGTAGATGACAGTCACGGGAAGTTGTCAAACAAAAGTGTACCATTGTACAAACACGCGAGCAAGAAGAACCTGCATATTAAAATCATTACGAGCGGCATTTTACTTTTTTTTAATCCGTTTGTAAATGCACTCACCAAAATGAGGTTTCCTGCAGCCACGAGAATGCAAGATCCATCGGGACTGAAAACAAGGTCATAGATCCTACAAAACGACAATAAGAAATCGAGGAAGGCAATTTGTTGTCAGTCGGTTCTTATAAACGGCTTTAAGCCGTCAGCACTTTAAACACCTCTAAATCATCTCTCTGTCAGAAGAAAATGAGTGTTCCCTAATTTTTGCTGTTATTTTGTGAGATATGAATAGAGAAGAACTGGCCCCTTAACTTTGATTAGTGTAGCTTTTAGTTTACTTGTGTCTAAGTATTTCAACCGCAGAGTCCAATTAGGCCATGGGCCTGTTTGAAAATTAGGTCAAATGAATCAAGTGTGTTTTTAATACTGACAAGGTTTTCTAGACATTAAAAATCTACACTTACCATTGGCTATGTTTTGATCTATCCACAACTTGGTCGAGCCATAAACGATTAACTCTCGCTAAGGCCATTGTCAAATCTAACACTTCTTTAACAACAGACCGTCACTGGGTCACGTTATATACAACTCAACAACGACAGCGGTTTAGTAATAGATCGTGAAAGACAAGTACAGTGACTGCTTGGCCTGGGCAGCGTGCATAGCCGTCTGGAATTCCACAAAATCACGCCGCGGGTATTTCATTTCGAGCATCGCATTGCCCTAAACTATTGAATGACATGACCTTCAAAACACTTTATATCCAAAAGTATTTACATATTTATCCTTGGACTCTTAAGAGCCCGAAAAAATCTAAAATTTCATTTTGTAAACAATTTAAGGCAGACAGAAGGTTAATTGGAAAGTAGCTTCTTTCCGCAATCAGCCTATGTATTATTTAAATGTAATTGATTTTTATCATCTAATTGGAAGCATTTCCTTCTCCTTGACTCGAATTAGATTTTGCATGATTTTCAAGATTGCTAACGTCTTTGAGGGGTCGCATCTATTCTTCAAGTATTAATGAATCTTTCATATTTAAGAGTTTAATCCTCATAATGCGAAAGGTCAAATTCAAGAAGCACCGCGCTGGTTTTTGAATATGAAATGCGGAAACAAAACCATCTTTGAAATCCAATGTCGACCGTACCAGTTGGACACGAAGGCTGAAAAACAGGTTTTTCATCATTTTACCTGGGAGTATGAAAAAAAAACATTCCAGGGGATTAAATATTGCTCTTTTTAGTTGACTTCGGTCAAGTTAAGTTAATTGTCGTTTAAATTAATTACTTGGCTATAATTATTCTATTTTCCTGATTTATGAGGGATTGTCATTAAACAAAAAATTTAGTTTGCTTAAAGATCTTTTGCTTTGGTCAGGTACTTTGATTGTACCTGACTAAATGGAAGTAAAGAAATCAATCTAAATACTCTTAAAAAAGAGTATTTAGATTGAAAATCTCCGCGTTTGTGTTAGAGATATACAAAGTAATACAATGAAAAATTTACGAATCCGAGGACTTAAATTTGACAGATGTGGAAAAACGGATTTATAATATCAAATTAACAGCTATTTTAATTTCATTAAAAAAAGTAAAGGAGATCGAAATCAAACTGAATAAAAAGTCTAGGTGATCTAGAATCACAACTTTATATTGATAGCTTTGAAAAACAACAAAAATTAGCCAAAACCACAATTAATGTGATCACAGAACGTTACGTTCAGTTACGAGGAAGTTTAGACCAAGTTGTCATACACCAATCGGATTAGTCTTGTAAGGTGGCTCTAACTTTTAAGAAATTCCGCGGGGTGACTATTCAAGTGAAACCCTTTTTTGGAAATTTTGACTTTTGCTTGTGAAAGTGTCAATGATTGTCCTCGAAATTATTTTTTTCTGATAGTTCTGGATCAGGAGTACTTATTGGGCGTTGGTATAAGAGGATAAAAATTTTGTGTCCGATCTAAAATCTTTTTATTACCGACAAAGCGCACAAATGACCTTTTCCTGATTTTTTCAAATCTCCTATAATTTCATACCCATATTTCCTACCACAGAATATTCAAAGGCTTACAGTCATTCATTCCCACGATCTGTCGACCATATGTTACAGGAAAATATGGTTCACGAATGTCCGAATGATTTATGCTAAGGGGGACAGTTTTTGCTCCTTTCCTTGACAAATATGACTAACAGACTGGAATATGGTACCGGTGAATGGATTGCCATCATTTCTTTTTATTTAAAAAAAGGCTGGAATTTTTTAAAACGACATCAGATATTGCTAAAAATTACAAAGAAGTTAAACGCTTTAGGCCGGGAGTTAAACTCGCGACCTCCGTTTAGACAGATAAGCTTACATTGCTCCGCTCAATAAACAAACTTTGTATTCCCAGTATAATTTGCACATATATATGCTTTCAATTCGACGGCTATTAATAATATTTGTTGCATTAAAATATAGATGAGGCGAAGCGTAACCATTGAAATCATGAAATGTAGCTTGCGATTAATGATATTTTTCAGTCAATATTTTATTCTGTTTTCCTGTATTAGTTTTTAGATTTTCACTTCAGATTAAAACCACTGGTAAACAGTTCTCTCTCTTTTAATGGATGTTATGAAACCAGACATGAAAACGTCGCGTAATTAAAAAATGGGAAGTCCAAAATTGTCAAAATTTTAAGTGATTTGTTTTTTTTTTGTCTTAAATTTCAGCGAGTAACGCCATAAACGGAACACTTTAGTCGCCATAGCCATCGTCGCGCGCAGTTCATGACTTTTCCACATTACTTTACAGTTTGTTTTGAAACAAGGTCTTGTGCGACAAAGGCAAATAACACTGAAATTTTATACTACGCACGAGTCAACTGAAATTCAGGGAGATATGGATGTTATTGACCTCGTGAAATAAAGAGCGACGTATTTGCTTCAGAGATGTTAGACCGAACAAAGCGAAACAAATCTTAGGTGCTGTGGGAGGATGCAAAGTTCAAGTAGAATACGCGTTTAGTGAGTGACGAAAAAGGTAGCGTTTCGTTAAATATGGAGGACAAAACGGATAAACAAAGCACACGTAGAAAAGTATCACTTACCGGCCAAGGAAAAGCAGCTAAATCGTTACGAAAACGGCTGGCTTTTGCCCTCGCGAACAACGCAAATATTAAATCGGATTCCGCTACAAGTACTAGCGCTAGTGCAAGCGAAGCGTCGGATCAAGAAACAGTGCAAAAAGAATTGGAAGGACAAGAAGAGAGAAAATCCTCTATTCCACGCAAAATATCGCAAGGGAAAAAATCGCCACAAGCGATGCAGATATTAGCGGCCCTAAATGAAAATGTTAAGTCTTCAAAAACGGACGGAAGAAGCAGGAAAGGTTCTTTGCCGACCAACGATGGAATTATTGGACACAAAGACGAACCTAACGTGGAATTACAGAAACAAAAAGAAAGTGCGCAGAATTTAGCATTTATGGCGAATATCAACAATGACGTGTCTGACAAAAAGATAGCTGAAAGGCAATCGGGTCATGACGAGTTGATACCGAACATGCACGAAAAAATCACGACCAATTCCGAAGATATTCTTGGTTCGCCAAAACATGTGAAGCATTTTAGTTTTGAAGATGTTGAAAGAGAAGTACTCAATTTGAGTAGGAACATGGATAACGTACTTCAAGAGTTTCCGAAAGTCAACATGGCTACTGATCGCATTAAAATGAAAGTTGAAGAGTTAAGAAAAGAGAGAATTTCGTATTATTCCAGGGAAATCTTCTGACAAAGACGCAATAATCTATAGTCATAGTTTTGTCTTGCTATTCACGAGTAGGTCACTCAGCAATATCGAGGGGAAAAAAGCTACATGACCAATAACTCTCTTTGCTTTCACTAACTTTTGAGTCTGTGGATGAAATTATTCAAATTGAAAGCTACTGAGCAGGACTTTCCTGTAGTAATGTTTATTTTGCTGTATATCATGGTTCTAACGTGTGGGTCTGTGGATGAAATCCTAAGTGTGATAATTCAAAGAGAAGCTACTAAGCAGTACGATTCAGTGGAAAGGCGATCATTATTACATCCAAACACGGCAGAAGGATCTGTTTTCCCATTACAATATTATTCTAAGAAAACTTGAAGAAAAAATGTCCCGAAAAGCGCTCGAAAATACAAACGAAATGTGCTCATGCTCGATCATGCCCCCCTGGGTATCCTATAATACTCTTTAAATCGAATTAATTCAATATGGCCGCCGTATCGGTAAAAAGGTGTACCGCTCTAACCTCGTTCCCAGGAAGGAAGAGAGAGAACTCTGGAAACGAGATTGCAGTCTGATATTTCGAGTTGGGCTACCTGTGGATCCTAAGATGCCTAACCGATATTGTTCGGCCAAAAAAAATACCAAGGAAACTCAATCACCTCGTCTAGTATGCTTTTTACAACTGATGCCTAAACTGAGGGGTGTCAAATTAATTAAAGGTTGAGAAACCGAAAACTTGACCAACATAAAATTGTGGGTGTTTTTCGGTGAGGAAGATTGGTTTCAGCGCTAGCTTATTAAGAATGTAGCCACAGAATATGGGAGACAACGGATCAGCGGATAAAAAAATTAAATTAAGGTGAGGACATTTCTGGTAATTTCTGTATTGCCTTAGATACATGGAGGAAATTGCTACCATCGGAACGGGTATTTTTCTGATCAGAGCGCAGTACAGACGAGAAATAAGAGAAACTGAAAAGTTCTAGTTTAGTATTTTTTTTATCACAAATATATATCTCGGAGGATTGGTTAATCAAGAGCATTTCGTTAGTTCAAATAAGCTCGTTCTTTAAGGTAAGTTTTTCTGATTAAAAACATGACACCTTGCAAACCTTTTTGGAAAAAAAAACACATGATAAGTTCCAATGCTGTTGGGTACGCAAGATTTCTTTTGTCATCGTACGGTCTTATGTCATCAGGATTTATGACGGTTCTTAAGACAGTTAATACGACAGTTTAATCCTTGATTAAAAGAAACAAAAGCCTCCTCGTCACCTTCCCCCCTGTGAAATTATTCAGTTTTCCGGAGGTTACGGTTCAAGTTGTTTAGTCAAAATTTTGGCGGAAAGAAAATTTAACCGAACTAAAGAAATTCGAACCCCTTCTACTCGTCAAATGAAAGTTGCTTCAACCTAAATCCTTTCCGCTTGTAATGATTTTGCGGTGTGTTCGAGGTGACACGAACGTTTCAGTGAAAATTTTCCTAAGTAATCCTCAATTATGTGTTATATAATTGTTACTATTTCTTACGTATGTTGGCTTAGGCCTAGTTTCAAGAATTCGGAAAATTCTAGATTGTATAAGCACCATCCCAGATTGAAACTAATTTGTAGTGGTATAACAACATTTTTGCATGGTGCCAATTTGAGGAAATGATAAAATCATTAAGTCCAGCTCTTTCAATTAAGAGGAATATATATTTATCTGAATTGTTTTACTTTTTGAAACAATCACCATAAACGATTTTTTTTATTTTCACGGTTTTATTTAATGGTGGTGAGAGTTTCACTGATTTATATGTAAAAACGAGAAATTTAACTTGAAAGTGTCAGTGAAATATTTCGAGAGGTGAAGTAAGGGGATTAACGTTCCTAGAGTATGGCATAAATCACTGTCACGATTCGTTCTTGTCTCCATAACAGTCAGTTGTCGGTGAGTAATCTTTTTTTCTGAGTTTTAAGGCTTAAAGCTCCCGTAGGTTTCACGTTAGTGGTGTGCACAACTGCGTCCGTTTTCTTTTCTTTATTTTTTGTCTGCTGTTTCCTACGGAACGAGAACCCTCGTAATTGCGGGAAAGATTCATAAATTTTTGATTCAAATCCTAAATGCGGTAACCAGGTTTAGAATAAGATCCAGCTGTGAGGCCCCTGAGCTGATTTTATTCTGAAACCACTGAATGTCTCTGTGGACTTGCAGAAGACTGGAGATACTCTATTTTTTGCAGGAAACTGGGCCAAGGTTAGTGGAAGGACAAATACAAATCACAAACAGTTCACTTTACATAGCTTATTCTTTTTTAAATTTTCATGTTTGATTTGTAACAACAACGTATCTATACAGCAGGAAAATGAACCCTTACCATTAACCAGAAACTTCATAAGTTTGAACGTAGTTAGCTAGAAAAGTATCTTTAAAAGTTCTGTATTTTTCATTGTATTATGAGCCCTTTAAGTGTTCAAGAGTTGAATGTTTCGCCGAACACAAACGCCGTACGTACAAATTGTACATTTCTTTTAGCTTTTTCTACATTCCACTACATTGTTCAATAAAGTTCAGATTTTAACGTTTTCGTAAAATTAAGACGGTCTTTCCATAAATATCCATACACTTTCTGTCCGAGACAAAAAAAATTCAGAACTACCCGATGGCATAATTCGGTCATTGTATAGTTTAAAGGGCAGAATACGGCTCAGACAATTGTAAGGCAGGACCATTTAGCTTTTTAACTTGTGTAAAACGTTAATTTTTTCGAAGAAAACGCTTTCACATATTCACTGAAACGTATCACTCTATATCAGGCCTCCGACTTCTGAGTAGTTACAGTTTTGGGTATGTACGCAGCGTGTCCATGGAAACAATGTCGTTAGAGAATCATCTTCCAGCTTTCTTTCTTAAGTTTAGGATTTCTACTTTACATGAAAAAAGTTAACGTCTAAGCTAATACTTAAAATTTCAACAATTTCCAACTCGTTCTTATAACCCGAACAAAAAAGTTACGTTCACTCAAGAGCCATAATGGGACCATTATGGCTCTTGGTTCACTGAAATCAGATTACTTATCTTAAAATTAACTCGACGTCTAAAAGGTGGCTTAAACTCCGACTTCCGTTTCCTCTAGGTCGCGCAGAGAGCCACGCGCACTACTAAGTTTCTTTGAGTGTTTTTTCTTCTTTCATGGCGTATGCAAACCTTGCAGCGTTTCCAACGTACTTGTAACTCCACTGATGAAGGGCCAGGCCCGAAACGTTTGGAGAGGAACTCAAACCACAAGACGACGCGTTTGTTCATTAGTTTTTGATGAACATTCCTTTACTTTTTTTTCAGTAAACCAACATATTAAGATAGGTTGCACTTAGCCGAGTAGAATTCACGAAGTTTTACTCTATACAATGTTAGTTGTGCTGGAAGCAGTAAAGAAATATATTTCATTATCCAGTGCATGCGGATGCTATCGCTTTCCCATACACGATTTGCCAAAAGTATTTGATAAGCGAAAATAAAGCTATCTTTTATCTTGCCATTTTAGGGAACTTGGAAACATAGTTACTCTAATATCACTTTATGACCTATACCACACTGAACAGAAATTTATCCAATACTCTTTATTCTAGCGTTTATTTTGTCAGTTTTGAAAAAACATTGATTTAAAATATAGCTAAATCACTGAGAAGTCTTTGAGTCTTGCAAGACATTTTCATAATGAAGCAAAATAAGAAATCGAAAACAGAATATTAAGTTATCACTGAATTAGGTAGAAATATTACAACAGTTAAATTCTAATCACTTTTTTAATATCGCTCTTTTGTTTTCAGTTTATCTGATCCAAAACCAGACTCAAAAAAGAATATTGGCGCAATCTATCTTAGTTTTCGATCTTTGCCTTTTTACTTATATGTGACAAGTGGCTTACTCAAAAATGAGGACGCAAATTACATCGTGGGACAAAAAAGTGATGATCAAGCGGCTCTTTTTTAAATTACTGTGAAATTATGACAATCTACTTGCTAAACTAAGACGTTTTACTTTGTTGTCTGCGCATGTGCAATTAGACCCCGTAATTTCGGAAATCCTTTGAAAGAAAACTTGGATTGAAAGCGTTAATCGTGGCACACGTCGATGGTAAAATATTGAAAAAAAGAATAATTACTTAACACCTTTATCTTTCCTGGACAAAACTCTGCCAATGATAATGATCAAAGAAATCCCCTCAAATTACACAAATTAGTAACAATTTCGCCCAGAATGGTCGGTCATCGTACTTAATTTGACATGTAAGTTTGTCCTTCAGCGAATGAAACTTCGATTGACGGGGAAAACGTTTTTCTGCCTTTCTGACCGTCTTCAGTTTATTCTCAACTCACGAAGTCCTGTGTAATTGGGATACTACGCCAGATTTCGTCTGAAGGTTAGGGCCAGGTTTTTTTATATACATAATAAATATCTTTCCGTGTTGATTATATTTGACAATCCTATAATCTTTATCCGGCGGTTTGTGGTGCAATCATACAGTTTCTGGTAAAGCTCAAAAGAGCTTCTTCTTCATTACATTTTTCTTTATTTCTTGATGCTCTTGCAATTGATAGTTGGTTTGGCGTTAGATATGTCAGGACAAGTTTCATGAACTAAAGCCATTTGGATATTTCCACATGAAAGTTGGGAAAACACTCGGCTTAAAATAGAAATTGTTTTGGTCTTAGCTCATCTACATTTCGAAGTAATATGAAGTAAAATACCTAGCCTACGGGTTTTTTTTCATGTCCTCCTAACCTTGTTTAAGTTAAGCTCCGAAAGTAACATATGTAACGTAAGACCAAACCAAAAAGAAAAAAAAACGCTTTTTTGACAAAAATTAACAGCTGGTCTTCATGAGGCCCTGAAATCACCTTGGTCAGCTGAAGATATTTAAGATGGTTAAAGACTGAGCTGCATTTTCGAGATTCTTTTAGAGAACAGTTTGCTGCATGTATACACTTTCGTCCATCGACACTTACGATATATCATTCAGTTTGACTTCAATGTTTATCTCTCATAATTAAAAGGCTGGTCAGTTGTTTGTAACTATAACCGGCTTTTACCATTAACATCTTTTTTGATCTGAAGCAGTTGGTAAAGAAGGTCCTCTCTTTGATTTTCGTGGAAGTTAGAATTTTTCGAACGCCCTGTAACAAAACACGAAATTCTTTATCATTCTTTGTGAAAACAGTTTTTTCGCTTAAACACTAGTATGGAAACAGGTTTTGCCTTCACAAAAGGATAAACTAAAGGAAGGGAGAAAAAATTTAAAACTCTCTGAGAGAGGCCTTTTCCTGGCTACGGGAAGGCACGGAATCTCTTACGCCTGTTGAATACCCTTGAAACAATGATAATAGACAGAACTTTGGCTCCAATGTAGGGGTTTAATCCAACACGTATAACCAACAATAGATGTAACCGAAGAAATTCATACAAAGCACTCGTACTTAAAGATAATGATGCGATACAGATTAAATCATAACTTAACGAGTCAAAATTACCGAATACAAAAATCGTCACTGAAAGACTATTGGCGGAAATGAAAGCTTGTTTTGAAACATTTATTTCTTCCAAAAGTTACACAGGTGGATAACGGCTTCTTAATAATTGTGCTTTAAAGGAAAATATTGCTCATATGTCCTCTTACCCCAAAAATTAATTAAGCAATGGTTTCTTAGTTTGACGAATATCATTCCAGTGTATAAATATGTGAAGAGACATCAAACGTAGTACGGGCCAGGCAGTTTATTATTAAAAGCCACCTAGCGCTTCCTTGTTTTTTATCTCTGTGTCGAGTCAAAATTACCGAATACAAAAGTCATTTCTGAAAGACTTTTGGTGGAAATGAAAGCTTGTTTTGAAACATTTGTTACTTCCAAAAGTTACACAGGTGGATATTAAACAGCTTCTTAATAATTGTGCTTTAAAGAAAAATATTGTTCATATGTCTTCTTACCCCAAAATTAATTAAGCAATAGTTTCCTTAGTTGGACGAATATCATTCCAGTGTATAGATATGTGAAGAAACCTCAAACGTAGTACTGGCCGGGTGGTTTATTATTAAAAGCCACCTCGCGCTTCCTTGTTTTTTATCTCTGTGTCGAGTCAAAGTTTCTTTAATCAGTTTTGATTTCTGTCGAAAATTTCTGTAATCATATTGTATAGTTAACATTTATTCCTCTTTGAAATCAAGGTGAAGAGTGGCTGAATACCCAATCAATCAGTCCATTCGTTTTTTGCGATATATCTCCCCTGAATTTCTTCCATGTATTGACAAGTTTTACGGAGTTTTTTAAGTTGTTCTTCTGATAAGAATTAAATAAATACAAATGGGAAACAATCGATAATAATCTCAAAAGTTGTTCATCGATTTGTCATCGCGGTTTTTTTAATTTCATCCGGCGATAATTAACTTGAAAAGACTCATATCTTTTCAGTTCATGTTAATTGATTTATATCGGGTAAAATACATTTTCGATGGCCGAAGACGTTGTTAAAGCATAACTGTAGGGTAAAATGACATTATTTAACTGCCAAGTGCGAAATGGGCCTCAAATAATTACTCGAAAACCCTGCGGTATTATCAGTGTGTATCGGTGTTAATTTTATTCATTTTACCAAACAAACGTTAATCTACGCCCTGTAGGGATTTAAACCTCATTGTGAGGTTAATCCATGAAGGCTGCGTGGAACAAATAAGCTTTTAACTCAATTTATGATGATGTAAATACTGAACGTTTACGTAACGGTAAAAGGCGACGAAAATGAAGTCAGAAATTAGAGCAAAAGTAAGGACTTAGCACGGGGTTAGTAGGCTTTTTTGGAATTTACAAAAACCTTTTTCATTACTAGAGTTAATGATCAAGGTATGTAAGGCTGTTTTTACCCTAGATTCTGTGGACAGAATCCTATCGTGTGATCATTGACCATCATTCAGCAATTTCGACCTTAATTCTTAATTACAAGCACTCTGAGAAGTAATGAAACTGTTTAATAACAAGGGCTTATGTGAGTTCACATAAGCTATTTTTCTAGTACATGCTTGTTCATTACATTCTCGGATAATCTGTAATCCTTGAGTTGTTTGAATATCGTATCGTTTCTGTAAATTGTTGTTATTTTCATAAACTTAAGAAGCCACCGGGGGGGGCTCAACACATGTTGTTCGGGGAGGCTATGCCGTAAGGTTCAACCGTTCACCCTTTTATATACCATTTTTGACGAAAATGACAGTTTTCCCTACCATTTTTATATACTTCAACTAGTAAAATCCCTTCCCTTTCATTTACCTGAAGCCTGAAAAAGATACCCTTTCGGGCGGAGCCTCTCCGTATAGGTCCTTTATAGGGAGTATCCCCCCCCCCCGCCGGAAGCCATAGTTACTAATTGAACCCATCACTAGAGCAATTAGTGAAGTGCTGTTCTGTGTACAATGACTTACTATTGACATCAAATGAGTGTTAAAACTCTACACGAGTACATACGGGTAACACACGGATGCATACGAGTACATACGAATACACACGACTGAGTAGCATACGGGTAACATGAGAGTAAAACACGGATCCCGAAGATCGTACGAAAAAAACAGGGGATAATGAAGACCGGCATAACATAAAAAAAGGAACCAATCCAGATTGAAATTGAAGAGCCATTTATAATGATCAAAGTGAAAAGTCTTCTCTTTGATAAGATTTTCTTACTTTTAATATTATTCAGTCTTTTCTGTTACATTTTAATATCCACAGGAAACGGACAGAAGCAAAGACAACAGCAAAGGTTTCTCCCTGACTAACACAAGAATCTGTAGCTATTCAGTGAAGTTCACCAAAAAATCAAGAAAATGAATAACTTAACAGAGAATTTCTCACGGCAAAACTTCTCAACTGAAGAAACTTTAGAGGATCTTACGCTTGATACAGAGACTAAAGTTATTTTCACATTCCTGGGTATTACAGCTCTTTTAATAACGGTAGCGAACAGCCTGGTGCTTGTCTTAGCGTGGAATATGAAATTTTTGCGTACAAAAACCAACTTATTTCTTCTGAGTTTGGCGGCAAGCGATCTACTGTCTGGAATCTTAGTTATTCCTCTGGTTATTGCATGTAATTTGGTGTACGATTCTAATTCTGAACAGATCTGTATAGCTATGGATATTTGTCAACGTGGACTGGCAATCTCAACTATTTTACATCTGGCGTGTGCAGTCATTGAGCGATATCTGAAAATTTCCGCGCCTTTTAAGTACGTATCTTTAGTTACAAGACCAAGAATTCTTAAAGTGCTATTTTCTGTTTGGATATCCGCCATATCTATATCCCTTGTGCAGTTGGTTTGGTTTGCTCCGAAAGAACAGGAGAGTGCAAACTCTCAATATCTTATATACAACGTGATGGTTCTCTGCCTTTTTGTGTTTGTTCCGTTTATAGTAACCCTAGTAGCGTTTATTCGGATATTTATCATAATGAAAAACAGCCAAGAGTGCCGTAAGAAAATGATCTACAGAACGCCTTCAAGTGTACAAAAGAGAACACGGAGTGTTAACGGAAAACGTTCTCTACTCATTTACCTCACAATGCTTATCTGCTTTGTTCTCGCGTGGTTTCCATATTTTTTCTTGACAATATTTATAGACATGAACTCTTCCATTGTCGAAGGTATACCAGCTTGGATAAATGTGATGTTCTTGTTTCTCAAAACCAGCTCCGCACTGTTCAACCCGCTACTGTTTACATATTTCAAGGCAGATTTCCAGAAAGCTCTCCGCAACATCTCTAATGGCTCATGGAAAAACGCTTCTGTTACATCTGCCAACATCGCGATTATGAGGAAAAGAACCATGTCAAATACATTAACGACACAAGCGGGGAAAGATACAGAGCTAAAAAGCAAGAGACCATGATTGGACAGAGAGGATGTCTCCCAGTCTTGCCCTTAGGCAAAAACAGTTATTTTTAGAAACTATGCGAACAATGCGAAAACAGTTTCCGGTAAACTGATTCACTTCTGCAAGACTCGCTTTCATGTTTCAGTGCATTAAAGCGAGTCCTATTACGGTCTCTCGAAAGAAGTCATAATTTTGTTAACAGCAAGAAGGTTCAGACGAAGAATGCTGCAATGAGGTAGAACTCAAGGCAAACTTAGTAATAGGTGCCATTTGACTAGAGCACCAAGCGAAACCTGTCCATAAACATTTCCCCCCGTTTTTTGGCAAAGAATTTGGCGTGCACACGCCAAGCAGGAGAGAAAGAAAAAGGAAACTCTATTTTCTCCTTTAGCCCCTCACACCCGCTTGCGCACGCAAACGGTCGATAAAGCGATAAATCCCCCGCTGTTTTTATTTACTTTATAGGCGTGCTCGACAATCTATTAAGAGAAATAAATATTAGTCTGCGAAATCTACCCAGAAGTGGAT